CCCAGGGAGTAGGGGATAGGGTACCCAGGGAGTAGGGGAGTAGGGTACCAGGGAGTAGGGGTTAGGGTACCCAGGGAGTAGGGGGTAGGGTACACAGGGAGTAGGGGGTAGGGTACCCCAGGGAGTAGGGGGGTTGGGTACCCAGGGCGTAGGGGGTTGGGTACCCAGGGAGTAGGGGAGTAGGGTACCCAGGGAGTAGGGGGTAGGGTACCCAGGGAGTAGGGGAGTAGGGTACCCAGGGAGTAGGGGGTAGGGTACCCAGGGAGTAGGGGGTAGGGTACCCAGGGAGTAGGGGGTAGGGTACCCAGGGAGTAGGGGAGTAGGGTACCCAGGGAGTAGGGGGAGGTACCCGGGAGTAGGGGGTAGGGTACCCAGGGAGTAGGGGAGTAGGGTACCCAGGGAGTAGGGGAGTAGGGTACCCAGGGAGTAGGGGAGTAGGGTACCCAGGGAGTAGGGGTAGGGTACCCAGGGAGTAGGGGAGTAGGGTACCCAGGGAGTAGGGGTAGGGTACCCAGGGAGTAGGGGGTAGGGTACCCAGAAGGTAGCGGATCTCCAGCCACAGCCATACACACATCCATACACACATCCATACACACATCCATACACACAGCCATACACACATCCATACACACATCCATACACACATCCATACACACAGCCATACACACAGCCATACACACATCCATACACACAGCCATACACACATCCAACCGAGCTACACGGGAGATCCTCAGCCAGAAATGAACTGTGCTGTTGTTGGAACAACATATTAAGCAGAAATACAACTCAAGTCATGCCACGCAGCATGTTACAATATACAGTAAACATTTGCATAATGTGCCAGTAATAATACTGATAGAAACAATATATTTTGCTCCATTGATTTGAATGTTTCTTGGACATAAGATAATGGCATACAGTAGATGTAATTGTACATTTGCATATCCGAACTACACTGTGTACATATTTACAAACACTAATTGAGCATGAAATGTATTTCTGTCAAATGTGTTTGACAGGGGTGCTAAATCCCACATCTAATTAGTGTCTTATAGCCCAAGTGTTGACACCTGACCTGTGCGTTTAAGAGGTTCCTGCTTCCCGCCTTATCTTAGATCATTGGTCACCATAGCAACACCCATCCGTAGTATGCGTTCCAGCAGGTGTATCTCACTGGTCATCCCCAAAGCCAACACCTCCTTTGGCCGCCATTCCTTCCAGTTCTCACCTGCAAATGACTGGAACGAACTGCAAAATTCTCTGAAGCTGGAGACACTTATCTCCCTCACTATAAGCATCAGTTGTCAGAGCAGCTTACCGATCACTGCACCTGTACACAGCCCATCTGTAATTAGCCCACCCAACTACCTCATCCCCATATTGTTATTTACATTGTTATTTATTTTGCTCATTTGCACCCCAGTATTTCTATTTGCACATCATCTTCTGCTCATCTATCACTCCAGTGTTAATACTAAATTGTAATTATTTTGCACTATGGCCTATTTATTGCCATACCTCCATAACTTACTACATTTGCACACACTGTATATATATATATATTTATTTTTTTTTCTATTGTGTTATTGACTGTACCTTTTGTTTATTCCATATGTAACTCTGTGTTGTTGTTGTTTTTATCGCACTGCTTTGCTTTATCTTGGCCAGGTCGCAGTTGTAAATGAGAACTTGTTCTCAACTGGCTTACCTGGTTAAATAAAGGTGAAATAAAAAAATTCATCCAGCTGTGTGACAACACATATGTACATTTGCATATCCAAACTACACTGTGTACATATTTACAAACACTAATTGAGCATGAAATGTATTTCTGTCAAATGTGTTTGACAGGGGTGCTAAATCCCACATCTAATTAGTGTCTTATAGCCCAAGTGTTGACACCTGACCTGTGCATTTAAGAGGTTCGTGCTTCATTTCATCCAGCTGTGTGACAACAGCAAAACAATCTGATACCTACCTTGTTGTGTTGAACAAACATGGCCATCACTTTAACTGCCCTCACTCAGGGACAAATAGCAGCACCTCGACTGTTATTTTCCGACAGGAACACGCTAGATGCTTTAAAAATAGGTATATAAACATCGGCTGACGTAAGAAAGAGTGGATGACTCAACCCAGCGTCAGGCATCTTGATGAGGAAAAAAAATAAGTATTCACCATAGTAAACTCTAAATACATGGTAGTTGTCCCACCAACATCAGCCACGTGGAATAAATCTAGACAGTCGTTATCAGAGAGAATATAGATCATATCAGTGTTGGAATGATGAAGTAATACAACAAATGGTCGTCAATGTGTGTAAAAGTGACCGTTATTGGCCGTTAAACTTGCCAATGAGGACCATTGGTGTCTGTCTCTGTCTGCGTCAGACTTTTACGCGCCTCACCGCATGTCAATTGCCACCAAAGAACTCGCGGTGATTTCGCGTCTCTGAGCGCGCAGAGAGATGCTGGGTTCGGAGGTTGTGCCTGAATGAAGATTTGCCTTACTAAATGTGTGCATTTTGAATTGTTTTGAGAATAAATACTTTTGCTGTTCTACTTTGAATAAGGTAAGGAGGGCATTTACGATTCTTATTCCCATCTTTCCATCTAGCAACGCGTTAGGCTACTCGATTGCATCATGAAATATCTAGGCTAATAATAAGATCATCGTTGTAGTCAATGCAAAATAAGTGCCATGTCTCACCTTGTCAAATCTGCATGATTGTTTCATAGGCTATTTCATACTGTAGCTTTGTCTATAGAAAGCGTTCGCCTTTTTTCCGTGCGAAATGAGGTTGAGCGCTCATTGGCGCGGTCCCTCTAGGTTGCGGTGCGGTCCACAATATTTAGTTAGATTATAAAGGCCTACAATAAGCATCAACGTCGTTCATTTCAGGTATATCATATGTACTGAGTGATCAGGTCACGTATGGAGGAAATAGGCTACCGTGCTCTGTCTTTGGATGCATGGATGTCTTATTCGGTTTTTATTGCCTTGACCTTGGCGACGATTCATGATATGTGTCCTCCAGCTGTCTTGCACTGTTTGAAGCAATAATGATTCTTCCACAATAAGCCACACACGACACAGTGTACCTGTGGACAGTAGGCCAATTGGCTATGATATGATGGTGTCTCTCGGTGTACTTGGGCCTGCACGAAGCACACCTAAGGTATGAAGATGCTAGATGTCAAGATGCTATGGGATTTCAACTCAGTTTTTTTAAAAGTCCCAAATCCTCTCAAAACCACATGGAATAGAATAGATTCTATAGAATATAATAATTTGTTCTCTTCAGATACGGCAATTATTTCCCCCAGTATGCAACAGTATACTATAGTTTTGAGTTTGACATGGGATGTACTGCAACTGTCTACGAACAAGTGATTACACTCAATATGGGTGGACTCTGGATATATTTAATTCACTCCTAGCCTCGATCCTGGTCGTGAATATGGTGTGATGTCTGGCAGCTTAATGCTACTTCACTAATATCTTGTCACAGTAACTATATGTGATTGGCAGCTGTCCTTCAAGAGGTGTCAGTGACAGTCTGTGAAATAGTGAGAGCAGGAGAGGTTGGGTATCACTGATGCTGCAGGGATGGAATTTCATTTTAACAGGAAGAACCATTGCCTAGCAACCCCACTGGATAAAGTGGAGCATCTCCTCTAGAAATGGCACCAGTAGGGACCTGTACAATTATGATTAAATCAACAACTCTTCCCTAGAGAGATGGGGTCTTACAGGTGGTCTGGTTCAGGTTTCAGCTATCTACTAGTGTGCAAATACCCTTCTTGACTTCATTTTATAATAATAATAATAATATAATAATATGCCATTTAGCAGACGCTTTTATCCAAAGCGACTTACAGTCATGATTTTGTGTTGTTTACATAGGGTTTGTTACTTAGCATTATACATCTCCACTCTCCACATGTTTAATCCATCCAGTTATTTGGCCTACAGAAATGCGATGATTCATAATTGATGAGCAGACATGACAACAGTCTGGTTGATAAGGTCAAGGTTAAAGTGACAGACAGTCAGACAGGTCTGAGGGCCCCAGGATACTGTAGCTCATACCTCTCTCTCTCATCTCTCTCTCTCTCCTCTCTCTCTTGTCTCTCCTCTCTCTCTTCTCTCCTCTCTCTCTCTCTCTCTCTCCTCACTCTCTCATGCTTTCATTCTATCTACCCTCTCCTCTCCTCTTCCGTCTCTCTATCTCTTCTCTCTTCTCTCTCTCCCCTCTTCCTTCTCTACTCTCTCTCCTGCTCCTCTCTCTTCTCTTTCATCTCTCTCCTCACTCTCTCTCCTCCTCTCTCTCTCTCTCTCACTCTCTCTCTCACTCTCTCAGACTCTTCCATGAAAGTTATCACTCAGTCGACTTTTCATTACTTGTATGCATATCATCTCCTTCAACCAGTAATTAAGGCTAGAGGTTTCCAACTTGACTATGATTTGCATACGCACCATAAATAGGCCACCAGGCCAGAAATAAATAATCTCTAGTGTGTATCCCAAATGGCACCCTATTCCCTATAGAGTGCACCACTCTCTGGTCAAAGGTAGCGCACTATATAGGGAATAGGGTGCCATTTGGGACATGCCCCCCCCAAAATCTCCTGGAGTGCAACTTTGAAAATGTTGTCTGGCACATAGGATGTAGATTTGTTTACAAACGCAATACGCTCATTATTCTTTCACTCCAATGACAATGTACTGTAATGTAAGGCTGAGGCTGCAGTGATGACTCATTGTATTATGTGGTGAAGTGCTGCGGACTACAGAGATACATCTGGATTTATCTCTATGGTTACGTCCCAAACGGCACTCTATTCCTTATGTAGTGCACTACTTTAATATGGGCCCTGGTCAAAGGTAGTGCACTATATAGAATAGGATGCCATTTGAGGACAAAAGCCATTGATTTATCTCTAGTATCTATGCTGTGGAAGAGCTCATTGGTGTTGAGTGCTACTGACTGGAAGAGGTCATTGGTGTTGAGTGCTACTGACTGGAAGAGGTCATTGGTGTTGAGTGCTACTGACTGGAAGAGGTCATTGGTGTTGAGTGCTACTGAATGGAAGAGCTCATTGGTGTTGAGTACTACTGACTGGAAGAAGTCATTGGTGTTGAGTGCTACTGACTGGAAGAGGTCATTGGTGTTGAGTGCTACTGACTGGAAGAGGTCATTGGTGTTGAGTACTACTGACTGGAAGAGATCATTGGTGTTGAGTGCTACTGACTGGAAGAGGTCATTGGTGTTGAGTGCTACTGAATGGAAGAGCTCATTGGTGTTGACTACTACTGACTGGAAGAGGTCATTGGTGTTGAGTGCTACTGAGTGGAAGAGCTCATTGGTGTTGACTACTACTGACTGGAAGAGGTCATTGGTGTTGAGTGCTACTGAGTGGAAGAGCTCATTGGTGTTGAGTACTACTGACTGGAAGAGCTCATTGGTGTTGACTACTACTGACTGGAAGAGGTCATTGGTGTTGAGTGCTACTGACTGGAAGAGCTCATTGGTGTTGAGTACTACTGACTGGAAGAGGTCATTGGTGTTGAGTACTACTGACTGGGAGAGGTCATTGGTGTTGAGTGCTACTGAGTGGAAGAGCTCATTGGTGTTGACTACTACTGACTGGAAGAGGTCATTGGTGTTGAGTGCTACTGAGTGGAAGAGCTCATTGGTGTTGACTACTACTGACTGGAAGAGGTCATTGGTGTTGAGTGCTACTGAATGGAAGAGCTCATTGGTGTTGAGTACTACTGACTGGAAGAGCTCATTGGTGTTGACTACTACTGACTGGAAGAGGTCATTGGTGTTGAGTGCTACTGAATGGAAGAGCTCATTGGTGTTGAGTGCTGCTGACTGGCAGAGGTCATTGGTGTTGAGTGCTACTGAATGGAAGAGCTCATTGGTGTTGAGTACTACTGACTGGAAGAGATCATTGGTGTTGACTACTACTGAGTGGAAGAGGTCATTGGTGTTGAGTACATTTACATTTACATTTACGTCATTTATCAGACGCTCTTATCCAGAGCGATTTACAAATTGGTGCATTCACCTTATAGCCAGTGGGTTAACCACTTTTTTTTTTTGGGGGGGGGGGGGTAAAAGGATTACTTTATCCTATCCCAGGTATTCCTTAAAGAGGTGGGGTTTCAAGTGTCTCCGGAAGGTGGTGAGTGACTCCGCTGTCCTGGCTTCGTGAGGGAGCTTGTTCCACCATTGAGGTGCCAGAGCAGCGAGTACTACTGAATGGAAGCGTTCATTGGTGTTGAGTACTACTGAGTGGAAGAGGTCATTGGTGTTGAGTACTACTGAGTGGAAGAGGTCATTGGTGTTGAGTTCTACTCTTTTTGGCAAGTTAACTAGCTAGTAGATGGCTAATTGTTTTTGTTCGAATGACGCATCTGGACACTGCACCAGCTTTTTTGTTTCACTTGGCTGCTGGTTCCTGATCTTTTGAAAATATAAATTTAAGAGTCACCTGAAGCTTGAGGGGAATGGGAGATGCAGTAAAGGAATGCAGGACTGAGGCAGAGGCGTCGTAGTGAGGACGACTGGCTACCGATCTGAACTGTGTGTGATGAGCTTTCTGGTGCCCAGAGCTGCTGAGGCATCACCCAAGTAGGTGCCATACATTGTGAAGGAGAAGTCCAGTGGCTGCACTACTCAGGCTGGTTCCCAGAGTAGCCCTATACAAGATCGTCACCAGACTCTTCATCAACCATCAACCGACCACCTTCCTCTGATCAAGCCATGAGCTGTCCCTCTCCATCTTTGGAGGATGCATCCACTCAAAGACTTGGCCTCTATTGGCCTCCCAGAGTGGCGCAGCGGTCTAAGGCACTGCATCTCAGCAGTCTAAGGCACTGCATCTCAGCGGTCTAAGGCACTGCATCTCAGTGCTTGAGGCGTCACTACAGATCCCCTGGTTCGATTCCAGGCTGTATCACAACCGGCCGTGATTGGGAGTCCCATAGGGCGGCGTACAATTGGCCCAGCGTCGTCCGGGTTTGGCCGGTGTAGGCCGTCATTGTAAATAAGAATTTGTTCTTAACTGACTTGCCTAGTTAAATAAAGTTTAAAATATTGGCTGCTAGGCTACTCATGATGATGGACCTTGTTTGTTTTTTGCATTTGAAGCGCTTTGAGATTGTTATGAATAGCGCTATAGACATGAAAAAAATACAGAATTATTATTATTACTGAGTGTGAGAACCACTGGATGAGCCATTGTTATTGAGCAGTGGCTGAGTAGTATATGAAAGCTGCTGAGCGGTGCATGTCGTGTCTGCAGGAGATTGTTCTAGAAAGCTGCTGAGCGGTGCATGTCGTGTCTGCAGGAGATTGTTCTAGAAAGCTGCTGAGCGGTGCATGTCGTCTCTGCAGGAGATTGTTCTAGAAAGCTGCTGAGCGGTGCATGTCGTGTCTGCAGGAGATTGTTCTAGAAAGCTGCTGAGCGGTGCATGTCGTGTCTGCAGGAGATTGTTCTAGAAAGCTGCTGAGCGGTGCATGTCGTGTCTGCAGGAGATTGTTCTAGAAAGCTGCTGAGCGGTGCATGTCATGTCTGCAGGAGATTGTTCTAGAAAGCTGCTGAGCGGTGCATGTCGTGTCTGCAGGAGATTGTTCTAGAAAGCTGCTGAGCGGTGCATGTCGTCTCTGCAGGAGATTGTTCTAGAAAGCTGCTGAGCGGTGCATGTTGTGTCTGCAGGAGATTGTTCTAGAAAGCTGCTGAGCGGTGCATGTCGTGTCTGCAGGAGATTGTTCTAGAAAGCTGCTGAGCGGTGCATGTCGTGTCTGCAGGAGATTGTTCTAGAAAGCTGCTGAGCGGTGCATGTCGTGTCTGCAGGAGATTGTTCTAGAAAGCTGCTGAGCGGTGCATGTCGCCTCTGCAGGAGATTGTTCTAGAAAAGCTGCTGGCGGTGCATGTCGTGTCTGCAGGAGATTGTTCTAGAAAGCTGCTGAGCGGTGCATGTCGTGTCTGCAGGAGATTGTTCTAGAAAGCTGCTGAGCGGTGCATGTCGTGTCTGCAGGAGATTGTTCTAAAAAGCTGCTGAGCGGTGCATGTCGTGTCTGCAGGAGATTGTTCTAGAAAGCTGCTGAGCGGTGCATGTCGTGTCGCAGGAGATTGTTCTAGAAAGCTGCTGAGCGGTTGCATGTCGTGTCTGCAGGAGATTGTTCTAGAAAGCTGCTGAGCGGTGCATGTCGTCTCTGCAGGAGATTGTTCTAGAAAGCTGCTGAGCGGTGCATGTCGTCTCTGCAGGAGATTGTTCTAGAAAGCTGCTGAGCGGTGCATGTCGTCTCTGCAGGAGATTGTTCTAGAAAGCTGCTGAGCGGTGCATGTCGTGTCTGCAGGAGATTGTTCTAGAAAGCTGCTGAGCGGTGCATGTCGTGTCTGCAGGAGATTGTTCTAGAAAGCTGCTGAGCAGTGCATGTCGTGTCTGCAGGAGATTGTTCTAGAAAGCTGCTGAGCGGTGCATGTCGTGTCTGCAGGAGATTGTTCTAGAAAGCTGCTGAGCGGTGCATGTCGTGTCTGCAGGAGATTGTTCTAGAAAGTTACTGAGCGGTGCATGTCGTGTCTGCAGGAGATTGTTCTAGAAAGCTGCTGAGCGGTGCATGTCGTCTCTGCAGGAGATTGTTCTAGAAAGTTACTGAGCGGTGCATGTCGTGTCTGCAGGAGATTGTTCTAGAAAGTTACTGAGCGGTGCATGTCGTGTCTGCAGGAGATTGTTCTAGAAAGCTGCTGAGCGGTGCATGTCGTGTCTGCAGGAGATTGTTCTAGAAAGTTGCTGAGTTGTGCATGTTGTGACTGCAGGAGATTGTTGAAAAATGAAAAATGTATGCACTCACTAACTGTAAGTCGCTCTGGATAAGAGCGTCTGCTAAATGACTAAAATGTTTTTAAAAAAAAGATGTAATTGTTCTAGCAGATGAATGTGATGTTGCGTGCAGACAGACTGCAGTTGGGCTGGCCTCTAGGTGGGCATCTTCTTAAGAACTCCCTCCCTGCTGCACATGAGAGACCATGTTTAATTATGTCGTCTAGCTGGTCTCTTGACCCTCACAGCTTCAATGGCGTCTGTTTAGATCAAACAGACCTGCCTGCCGTCCGTCAGGATCTTGTGAGGGAGCCAGTCACTGAAACGGCTCAGAAGGTTTACTACAAAGTCTGATAATATGACTTTGAAGCTAAATGCCCCCATCTGAGGTCTTATCTCTAGGCTATGTTGTTGTTTGGCATTTTAACCATGGATGTCCTTATCGCCCCATTGTACAATAGCCTTAGTAGTTGCAGTTTCGTATACATGTAAAGTATTTCATGTCAATTTCATTCATAAATTGTGTGCTATGACTGTGTTAGCCTGCTGAGTAAAGCCTAGGAATTACATCAGGGACCTAACACAATATTCAGGTCTCAGACAAGGTTCCCCAACGTTCCCACAGTTAAACCAGGGCCTGGCTGGCTGCTGCCTGCTGTGGTGCCGGAACTCAGGACCAAACCTTGCTTGAGCTGGCCAGTAACTCAGTCTGTCACAGGACTACCTATAGCTAGGGCTGTGATGTTCTGGGAATTTTGGATAACGCTAATAACAGTTTGAATAGCAAATATTATCGTATTTTGTTTTACACACATTTTCTCTTCTCCTGACTGCATGTGCTACTATATACTGTAAATAGAATGAATATGAATGAATCATGATATGATTTGAAACGCTGGTCATGTCACACATCACCTCCATCATCCACTCCAGTTCCCTGGACCCACTCCATTTCATTGACTATAGCTCAGCGTTCAACACCATAGTGCCCTCCAAGCTCATCACCAAGCTCGGCACCCTGGGACTGAACACCTCCCTCTGCAACTGGATCCTGGAATTCCTGACGGGTCGCCCCCAAGTGGTTAGAGTAAGTAACAACACCTCCGCCACGCTGACCCTCAACACGGGGGGCACCCCAGGGGTGTTTGCTAAACCCCCTCCTGTACTCCCTGTTTACTCATGACTGTGTGGCTAGGCACGTCTCCAACTCAATCGTCAAGTTTGCTGATGACACGACAGTGGTAGGACTGATCGCCAACGGTGATGAGCCAGCCTACAGGGAGGAGGTCAGAGAACTGGAAGTGTGGTGCCAGGACAACAACCTCTCCCTAAACGTCAACAAGACCAAGGAGCTGATCGTGGACTACAGGAAACAGGGGGGATGCACACCCCCGTCCACATCGACGGATCAGCTGTGGAGAGGGTCAAGAGCTTCCAGTTCCTCGGTGTCCACATGGTCCTCTCAATTGGTCCTCTCACATCAGAACAGTCGTGAAGAAGGCACGGCAACGCCTCTTCTCCCTCAGGATGCTGAAACGATTTGGCATGGCCCCTCAGATCCTCAGGAACTTTTACAGCTGCACCATTGAGGGCATCCTGACAGGTTGTATCAACATCTGGTATGGCAACTGCACCACCCGCGACCGGAAGGTCCTACAGAGGGTGGTGCAGACAGCCCAGTGCATCACTGGGAGCAAGCTCCCAGCCATCCAGGACGTACATGCCAGGCGGTGTCTGATAAAGACTCCAGCCACCCGAGACATGGGGTGTTCTCCATGCTCCCGTCCGACAGGCGGTACCGGTGCATCAAGGCTCAGACAAACAGACTCCTGAACAGCTTCTATCCCCTGGCCATAAGACTGTTTAATGGCTAACAACTACTGCTCTCCCTCTCCCACAGACTATCCACACTGGCTGTATGCCCATCCACATGTCACTACCCACTCAGACACAACCTACGCTGCTGCTAAAATTATTATTGCCATTACCATTAGTATTTATTATTTACATGTATATATTACCATTAGCATATTACCATACAGTGGGGAGAACAAGTATTTGATACACTGCCGATTTTGCAGGTTTTCCTACTTACAAAGCATGTAGAGGTCTGTAATTTTTATCATAGGTACACTTCAACTGTGAGTGACGGAATCTAAAACAAAAATCCAGAAAATCACATTGTATGATTTTTAAGTAATTAATTTGCATTTTATTGCATGACATACGTATTTGATACATCAGAAAAGCAGAACTTAATATTTGGTACAGAAACCTTTGTTTGCAATTACAGAGATCATATGTTTCCTGTAGGTCTTGACCAGGTTTGCACACACTGCAGCAGGGATTTTGGCCCACTCCTCCATACAGACCTTCTCCAGATCCTTCAGGTTTCGGGGCTGTCGCTGGGCAATACGGACTTTCAGCTCCCTCCAAAGATTTTCTATTGGGTTCAGGTCTGGAGACTGGCTAGGCCACTCCAGGACCTTGAGATGCTTCTTACGGAGCCACTCCTTAGTTTCCCTGGCTGTGTGTTTCGGGTCATTGTCATGCTGGAAGACCCAGCCATGACCCATCTTCAATGCTCTTACTGAGGGAAGGAGGTTGTTGGCCAAGATCTCGCGATACATGGCCCCATCCATCCTCCCCTCAATACGGTGCAGTCGTCCTGTCCCCTTTGCAGAAAAGCATCCCCAAAGAATGATGTTTCCACCTCCATGCTTCACTGTTGGGATGGTGTTCTTGGGGTTGTACTCATCCTTCTTCTTCCTCCAAACACGGCGAGTGGAGTTTAGACCAAAAAGCTATATTTTTGTCTCATCAGACCACATGACCTTCTCCCATTCCTCCTCTGGATCATCCAGATGGTCATTGGCAAACGTCAGACAGGCCTGGACATGCGCTGGCTTGAGCAGGGGGACCTTGCGTGCGCTGCAGGATTTTAATCCATGACGGCGTAGTGTGTTACTAATGGTTTTCTTTGAGACTGTGGTCCCAGATCTCTTCAGGTCATTGACCAGGTCCTGCCGTGTAGTTCTGGGCTGATCCCTCACCTTCCTCATGATCATTGATGCCCCACGAGGTGAGATCTTGCATGGAGCCCCAGACCGAGGGTGATTGAATGTCATCTTGAACTTCTTCCATTTTCTAATAATTGTGCCAACAGTTGTTGCCTTCTCACCAAGCTGCTTGCCTATTGTCCTGTAGCCCATCCCAGCCTTGTGCAGGTCTACAATTTTATCCCTGATGTCCTTACACAGCTCTCTGGTCTTGGCCATTGTGGAGAGGTTGGAGTCTGTTTGATTGAGTGTGTGGACAGGTGTCTTTTATACAGGTAACGAGTTCAAACAGGTGCAGTTAAAACAGGTAATGAGTGGAGAACAGGAGGGCTTCTTAAAGACAAACTAACAGGTCTGTGAGAGCCGGAATTCTTACTGGTTGGTAGGTGATCAAATACTTATGTCATGCAATAAAATGCAAATTAATTACTTAAAAATTACTTAAAAGTCTCTCACAGTTGAAGTGTACCTATGATAACAATTACAGACCTCTACATGCTTTGTAAGTAGGAAAACCTGCAAAATCGGCAGTGTATCAAATACTTGTTCTCCCCACTGTAAGTATTTATATATTCCTGCCACCAGTCACTTTTCAGTCCTGTTTACATGTATATCATGCTACCAGTCACTTTTTTATGTATAAACCTACCTCAACCACTCCAGTACCCCTGCACATTGAATAAGGTACTGACACTGACCTGTATATACAACCACTCCAGTACCCCTGCACGTTGAATAAAGTACTGACACTGACCTGTATATAAAACCACTCCAGTACCCCTGCACATTGAATAAGGTACTGACACTGACCTGTATATAGAACCACTCCAGTACCCCTGCACATTGAATAAGGTACTGACACTGACCTGTATATAGAACCACTCCAGTACCCCTGCACATTGAATAAGGTACTGACACTGACCTGTATATACAACCACTCCAGTACCCCTGCACATTGAATAAGGTACTGACCTGTATATACAACCACTCCAGTACCCCTGCACATTGAATAAGGTACTGACACTGACCTGTATATACAACCACTCCAGTACCCCTGCACATTGAATAAGACACTGACCTGTATATACAACCACTCCAGTACCCCTGCACGTTGAATAAGGTACTGACACTGACCTGTATATACTTGCATTCTCGTGTTTCTTTAACTCTCATTGTAGTTTTTATTAGGTTTTTATTCTTACTTTAATGTTTTATTCTATTTTCTATTACTATATATATTATTATCAGTGCATTGTGGGAAAGAGCTCTGAAGGTAAGAATTTCACTGTACTGTTTTACACCTGTTGTATCCTGTGCACGTGGCAAATAAACTTTGTAACTTGAATAGAATGGGTGGTGTGGTGGCCATTGCTAAAATATGTGCTGTGATTTGTTGATTCATCTCAACTGACATTACAAAAAATACATTCCATTGCATGAGCCACATCAGTTAGCATAATTTGAATGAACATTCTACATTACCATGGAAATTATTGCATCACCATACCAGGCAGCCATTGCAAGTGTACCCTTGAGTTTACCAGAGTTAGAGGTTCCAACCAAGCCTGTTTTATTCATTATATTTCTGCTGTTGCTGCTGCATTGTGGTTATTCAGTCAGCTGTTCGTTCAACCCACAATAATAATTTAAATGGTTATGACGGTCTTCATTCATAACCATCGGTTACACGGTTATACAGTAATTGTGCCAGCCCTACCTATAGCACAGACTTCCCCCCATCAGATGTGCTGACTAAACCAACAACATAGCAGGGAAGGGGCTACTGACTAGCCCCAAGCAGCCAGTCAGCCCACCGCCCCAAGCAGCCAGTCAGCCCACCGCCCCAAGCAGCCAGTCAGCCCACCGCCCCAATCAGCCAGTCAGCCCACCGCCCCAAGCAGCCAGTCAGCCCACCGCCCCAAGCAGCCAGTCAGCCCACCGCCCCAAGCAGCCAGTCAGCCCACCGCCCCAAGCAGCCAGTCAGCCCACCGCCCCAAGCAGCCAGTCAGCCCACCGCCCCAATCAGCCAGTCAGCCCACCGCCCCAAGCAGCCAGTCAGCCCACCGCCCCAAGCAGCCAGTCAGCCCACCGCCCCAATCAGCCAGTCAGCCCACCGCCCCAAGCAGCCAGTCAGTCTACCGCCACAAGCAGCCAGTCAGCCTACCACCCCAAGCAGCCAGCCAACCAACTAGGGATTAGAGGGTTTTACACAGAGCCTCCCTCCACAAAGTTACATTCAATTGTATAATGATGTGAACTGAGGCGATTTCCAGTCAGACTCAATTTCTAGACAAATCTCCTTTAGTTATTACCATAGACCTGGCATAATTAATGGAACTGACATAATACAGCTGAATCATGCTGAAACGTCTCTTTGATCAAAACTACTGGGGTTTTAAAGAGCCAGTACAGGAGGGTAGAGGAGACTGCAGGAGATGGGGTGTCTGTGCTGGAGGGTAGAGGAGTCTGCAGGAGATGGGGTGTCTGTGCTGGAGGGTAGAGGAGTCTGCAGGAGATGGGGTGTCTGTGCTGGAGGGTAGAGGAGACTGCAGGAGATGGGGTGTCTGTGCTGGAGGGTAGAGACTGCAGGAGATGGGGTGTCTGTGCTGGAGGGTAGAGGAGACTGCAGGAGATGGGGTGTCTGTGCTGGAGGGTAGAGGAGACTGCAGGAGATGGGGTGTCTGTGCTGGAGGGTAGAGAAGACTGCAGGAGATGGGGTGTCTGTGCTGGAGGGTAGAGGAGACTGCAGGAGATGGGGTGTCTGTGCTGGAGGGTAGAGGAGACTGCAGGAGATGGGGTGTCTGTGCTGGAGGGTAGAGACTGCAGGAGATGGGGTGTCTGTGCTGGAGGGTAGAGACTGCAGGAGATGGGGGTGTCTGTGCTGGAGGGTAGAGGAGACTGCAGGAGATGGGGTGTCTGTGCTGGAGGGTAGAGGAGACTGCAGGAGATGGGGTGTCTGTGCTGGAGGGTAGAGGAGTCTGCAGGAGATGGGGTGTCTGTGCTGGAGGGTAGAGGAGACTGCAGGAGATGGGGTGTCTGTGTCTAGTTGAATTAAAAATATAGACAAAGAGCTTTGTCACCGTTAGTTATCAGTGTTTTAATACAGTAGCTGTATTTCCAAATCAGATCGTGTAGGACATGGACAGATTTCTCTAACCAACTCTTAACTTGTCTCTTCACAGGTTCAAGACAAAAAAAAAATTAAACACCCCATATCTTCTTCACGCCTCTCTCTGTGGAATCTACCTTTTGACCATCTCTGATCCCTTCTGACCACCAACCCCTAGCCGTTAGACCCCTCACCACCCGCCGCCACCATGCCTAAAAACAGCAAGGTGACCCTGGGTCTACCTCACAGTGATCCCGTCACTGAGTCAGTGGCGGACCTCCTGACCCTGGCCGAGCCCCTCGACTATAAGAGCAGCCGGATGAGTATGGGCCTCAGCCCCGGGGCCCAGCCAGCCATGGGCAAGGGCCTGCTGCCTTCCCCAGGGGACGAGGAGGGGAGGCCAGCCTGGAACAGCAAGCTGCAGTACATCCTGGCCCAGGTTGGGTTCTCTGTGGGGCTGGGCAACGTCTGGAGGTTCCCCTACCTGTGTCAGAAGAACGGAGGAGGTGGGTAACGCTGGGGAGTCTGGGTATTGTAGTTAGTTACTGGTGGGGATTCTGGATAGTGTAGTCACGGGTGGGAGCTTGGGGGGATATGGTGGTACAGGGCTTGAGAAAGTGCAATTTGATTCGATGTCACCAGTCACCCCAGGCTGGTGGATAAATGGTGAGGGGGATAATGGGGTAAGAGCATCACATCTCTCTCTCGACTGGACAGAGTCATTGTTCCGGCAGACTGGACAGGTGTGAAATAGCAGGCAGTTGTAGCTGTCACTATTCAGGTGTTCTATGGTGTGGTAACAGGCCTGTCTGAGACAGGGAACATCCAATAGGTTGACACTGAACATCTCGTTTACTTCTTGTCAGAAGGATAAACATGGTGAAGCACTATAATACATTTGCCTTCACTGATATACTGCCCTTGGCTATACTAGTATACCCTAGTACAGTGTTTCCCAAAAGTATTCAGACCACTTGACTTTTTCCACATTTTGTTACGTTACAGCCTTATTCTAAAATGTATTAATTATTTTTTTCTCATCAGTCTAACACACAATACCCCAGAATGACAAAGCGAAGACGGGTAATTTATTAAAAATAAAGAACAGAAATATCTTATTTACGTAAATATTCTGACCCTTTGCTATGAGACTCGAAATTGAGCTCAGGTGCATCCTGTTTCCATTGATCATCCTTGAGATGTTTCTACAACTTGTTTGGAGTCCACCTGTGGTAAATTCAATTGATTGCACGTGATTTGGAAAGGCACACACCTGTCTATCTAAGGTCCCACAGTTGACAGTGCACGTCAGAGCAAAAACAAAGCCATGAGGTCGAAGGAATTGTCTGTAGAGCTCCGAGACAGGATTGTGTCGATGGCACAGATCTGGGGAAGGGTACCAAAAAATATCTGCAGCATTGAAGGTCCCCAAAAACACAGTGGCCTCCATCATTCTTAAATGGAAGAAGTTTGGAACCACCAAGACTCTTCCTAGAGCTGGCCGCCCAGCCAAACTGAGCAATTGGGGGAGAAGGGCCTTGGTCAGGGAGGTGACCAAGAACCCGATGGTCACTCTGAGAGCACCAGAGTTCCTCTGTGGAGATGGGAGAACCTTCCAGAAGGTCAACCATCTCTGCAGCACTCCACCAATCAGGCCTTTATGGTAGACTGGCCACTCCTCAGTAAAAAGCACATAACAGCCCGCTTGGAGTTTGCCAAAAGGCACCTAAAAGAAACAAGATTCTCTGGTCTGATGAAACCGAGATTGAACTCTTTGGCCTGAATGCCAAGCGTCACATCTGGAGGAAACCTGGCACCATCCCTACGGTGAAGCATGGTGGTGGCAGCATCATGCTGTTGAGATGTTTTTCAGTGGCAGGGACTGGGAGACTAGTCAGGATCGAGGAAAAGATGAACGGCGCAAAGTTCAGAGAGTTCCTTGATGAAAACCTGCTCCGGAGCACTCAAGACCTCAGACTGGGGCGAAGGTTCACCTTCCAACAGGACAACGACCCTAAGCATACAGCCAAGACAACTCAGGAGTGGCTTCGGAACAAGTCTCTGAATGTCCTTGAGTGGCCCTGCCAGAGCCCCGACTTGAACCCGATCTAACATCTCTGGAGAGACCTGAAAATAGCTGTGCAGCGACGATCCTCATCCAACTTGACAGAGCTTGAGAGGATCTGCAGAGAAGAATGGGAGAAACTCCCCAAATACAGGTGTGCCAAGCTTGTAGCGTCATACCCAAGAAGACTGGAGGCTGTAATCGCTGCCAAAGTTGCTTCAACAAAGTACTGAGTAAAGGGTCTGAATACTTATGTAAATGTAATATTTCAGTAGTTTGTTTTACATTTGCAAAAGTTTCTAGAAACCTGGTTTTGCTTTGTCATTATGGGGTATTGTTTGTAGATTGATTTTTATATAATCAAATTTTAGAAAAACAATTTAATCCATTTTAGAACAAGGCTGTAACGTAACAAAATGTGGAAGAAGTCAAGGGGTCTGAATACTTTCCGAATGTACTGTATATATACTCTTGAAAGTTGTAATAGTAGAATGCACAGGGTGCAATTTCTAAACGGGTGTGTCCCGGTGAAACCTGACACCATGATAATCTGCAGCCTCAAGTCCAGGCTTGTCCTAGTGATTATGGATTCTGATGATCCTGAAAAAACCATTGTGTCTCGGTCTCTCTCTAACCTCCGTTATCGATGCTAGCGCGCGCGCGCTAGCGAGCGCGCGATCGGAGGAGCGAGAGGCGAGAGGCGAAGGGCGAGAGAGCGCAAGTGAGAGCTCCGAGCGAGAGAGTAGCGAGAGAGCGAGCAGAGCCTCTCGAGCTCAGAAGCTGATCCTATAGTCTCTCTCCTCTCTCTCTCGCTTCGCTTCTCCCCTCTCTCTCCTATCTCTCTCAATTCTCTATCTCTCAATTTCTTCTATCTCTATCTCTCAATTTCTTCCTCTATCTCTCTATTCTCCCTATCCCTCTCTCTCGCTCTCATATATATATCCCCCTCTTCCTTCATCTTCCTCCTTCCCCCCTCCTTTATGTTCTCTCTATTCAATTTCCATTTGATGAAAAGGCCAGTAGAGATTACATTGAACAAAGGCTACAGTGTTACAGTACTCTAGTATTGCAGGAAAGACCAACGCCATATTATAATCCCTCCATCAAAATAATTGTGTTCCAAAGAGCAAAGAGCAGTATAAACCTGAATGGCTTTCTCTGTGTTGTGTTTGGATCCGCACAACCAGTCCAGGCCTCCTAGTCCCAGGTGTGTTGTTACTTGGAATAGCAGCAAGTGAGAGTTGGCTGGCAGCCAAGGTTGTGCTAATTACGGTGCAAATGTGTTGTTTGTGAGTGCATGATGATGCTCTGTGTGCTCAGTGGAGCTAAAAGAGGGAGAGTAGAGAGGTACAGAGAGAGACAGGAGGGGGTGGAGATAATACTAGATAATAGAGGACATGACCATCCACAAAGTAGTCTGTCTTTCTTTGGTTGGCTTGAGCTATTTGTGTCAATATGAAATATACTGGCCTTTTCCTTCCATCCAGAAGGCTGTTTCAATTGGACCTTTCCTGACTTGTAACCTTTAACCTTCTCCCTCTTCATTCTCCCTTTCCTCCCTCTTTCTTCTCCTCCCCCATCCCCTCTCTCCTCCCCCCTCCTCTCTCAGGTGCGTACCTGGTCCCGTACTTCATCCTCCTCATCCTCATCGGGATCCCTCTGTTCTTCCTGGAACTGGCGGTGGGACAGAGGATTAGGAGAGGCAGCATCGGGGTGTGGAACTATGTTTACCCTCAGCTAGGAGGCATCGGGGTCTCCAGTCTAATGGTGAGACGCTTGCACACACACTACAGGACTGTGGCGGCCATTTTGTCAGCCTTGTGATTTGTCAAGCAAATAACCGCTGGTCTCACAGTAATTTACCGTTAATTAACAGAAACACATTAAGCATCTCCAGGCTTTGAGCCACTGATGCGGACCTTTTGGAACATCTACATTTTAAAGTATAATAAATCCATTGAATATAGCCTACACCATCACAATAAATCCATTATTTATTTTAGGCAGGTCTAAAGAAACATTATGATATGAAGAAAATTTTAACTATTTCAGAAGAGCAGAGTAGCGTACTCTGAGACATCCTTCTGTTGGGCCCTGATCTGGCTATGCCATATGGCTGTCGGCTAATTTAGTTCATTTAGCAGACAAGATTTGCTTATTATTCCTGTGGCTTTATTTTATATTATTTTATGGTAAGAAGAATACAATTGAACATAGCTGAATAAAATAGAAAGGATATTTTTCCCAAACGATTTCTGAGGGAATGCGCACATGCGGCTATTCTGTGTTGAACGGTTAACAAAGAAACAGGTCATCCTATATGCTTGATTTAGAGTTATTTATGCAATATGTTTTGATTTCTAATACATTCTAAGGCTGCATGCGACTCTAATGATGATTTGAATAAAGTCTCATGAAAGGCATGAGCTCTGAGGAGTTTCTTGCGCCGGCTTCACACACTTCATCAGTCTCTCATGAAGTGTGTGTGTGGGGGGGGGGGGGGGGGGGTAAACAAAACATAAAGTTACATATGGGGTAAACAAAACATAAAGTCAAAAATACAACAGAAAATATATATACAGTGTGTGCGAATGTAGTAAGTTATGGAGGTAAGGTAATAAATAGGCCATAGTGCAAAATAGTTACAATTTCGTATAATACTGGAATAATAGATGTGCAAAAGATGATGTGCAAATAGAGATACTGGGGTGCAAATTAGCAAAATGAATAACAATATGGGGATGAGGTAGTTGGGTGGGCTAATTTCAGAAAGGCTGTGTACAGGTGCAGTGATCGGTAAGCTGCTCTGACAACTGACGCTTAAAGTTAGTGATGGAGATAAGAGTCTCCATCAATACGGTCATTGTAACAGCCCTACACAAACACACACACACACACACACACACACAAATGCACGCACACAGCTAGGAGGTGTCGGGTTGACAAGTCGTATGGTCAGCTAGGAGGTATTTGGGGTGACCAGTCGTATGGTCAGCTAGGAGGTATTTGGGGTGACCAGTCGTATGGTCAGCTAGGAGGTATTTGGGGTGACCAGTCGTATGGTGAGCTAGGAGGTATTTGGGGTGACCAGTCGTATGGTCAGCTAGGAGGTATTTGGGGTGACCAGTCGTATGGTCAGCTAGGAGGTATTTGGGGGGTGACCAGTCCGTATGGTCAGCTAGGAGGTATTTGGGGTGACCAGTCGTATGGTGAGCTAGGAGGTATTTGGGGTGACCAGTCGTATGGTCAGCTAGGAGGTATTTGGGGTGACCAGTCGTATGGTCAGCTAGGAGGTATTTGGGGTGACCAGTCGTATGGTCAGCTAGGAGGTATTTGGGGTGACCAGTCGTATGGTCAAGCTAGGAGGTATTTGGGGTGACCAGTCGTATGGTCAGCTAGGAGGTATTTGGGGTGACCCAGTCGTATGGCGAGCTAGGAGGTATTTGGGGTGACCAGTCGTATGGTCAGCTAGGAGGTATTTGGGGTGACCAGTCGTATGGTCAGCTAGGAGGTATTTGGGGTGAACCAGTCGTATGGTCAGCTAGGAGGTATTTGGGGTGACAGTCGTATGGTCAGCTAGGAGGTATTTGGGGTGACCAGTCCGTATGGTGAGCTAGGAGGTATTTGGGGTGACCATCGTATGGTAGCTTAGGAGGTATTTGGGGTGACCAGTCGTATGGTCAGCTAGGAGGTATTTGGGGGGTGACCAGTCGTATGGTCAGCTAGGAGGTATTGGGGTGACCAGTCGTATGGTCAGCTAGGAGGTTTGGGTGACCAGTCGTATGGTGCAGCTAGGAGGTATTTGGGGTGACCAGTCGTATGGTCAGCTAGGAGGTATTTGGGGTGACCAGTCGTATGGTCAGCTAGGAGGTATTTGGGGGGACCAGTCGTATGGTCAGCTAGGAGGTATTTGGGGTGACCAGTCGTATGGTCAGCTAGGAGGTATTTGGGGTGACCAGTCGTATGGTCAGCTAGGAGGTATTTGGGGTGACCAGTCGTATGGTCAGCTAGGAGGTGGGTAATTTGGTGGGTGGGGACCAGTCGTATGGTCAGCTAGGAGGTATTTGGGGTGACCAGTCGTATGGTCAGCTAGGAGGTATTTGGGGTGACCAGTCGTATGTCAGCTAGGAGGTATTTGGGGTGACCAGTCGTTGGTCAGCTAGGAGGTATTTGGGGTGACAGTCGTATGGTCAGCTAGGAGGTATTTGGGGTGACCAGTCGTATGGTCAGCTAGGAGGTGTCGGGTTGACAAGTCGTATGGTCAGCTAGGAGGTATTTGGGGTGACCAGTCGTATGGTCAGCTAGGAGGTATTTGGGGGTGACCAGTCGTATGGTCAGCTAGGAGGTATTTGGGGTGACCAGTCGTATGGTCAGCTAGGAGGGTATTTGGGGTGACCAGTCGTATGGTCAGCTAGGAGGTATTTGGGGTGACCAGTCGTATGGTCAGCTAGGAGGTATTTGGGGTGACCAGTCGTATGGTGAGCTAGGAGGTATTTGGGGGTGACCAGTCGTATGGTCAGCTAGGAGGTATTTGGGGTGACCAGTCGTATGGTGAGCTAGGAGGTATTTGGGGTGACCAGTCGTATGGTCAGCTAGGAGGTATTTGGGGTGACCAGTCGTATGGTCAGCTAGGAGGTATTTGGGGTGACCAGTCGTATGGCCAGCTAGGAGGTATTTGGGGTGACCAGTCGTATGGTCAGCTAGGAGGTATTTGGGGTGACCAGTCGTATGGTCAGCTAGGAGGTATTTGGGGTGACCAGTCGTATGGTCAGCTAGGAGGTATTTGGGGTGGACCAGTCGTATGGTCAGCTAGGAGGTATTTGGGGTGACCAGTCGTATGGCCAGCTAGGATGGTATTTGGGGGTGACCAGTCGTATGGTCAGCTAGGAGGTATTTGGGGTGACCAGTCGTATGGCCAGCTAGGAGGTATTTGGGGTGACCAGTCGTATGGCCAGCTAGGAGGTATTTGGGGTGACCAGTCGTATGGTGAGCTAGGAGGTATTTGGGGTGACCAGTCGTATGGTCAGCTAGGAGGTATTTGGGGTGACCAGTCGTATGGTCAGCTAGGAGGTATTTGGGGTGACCAGTCGTATGGTGAGCTAGGAGGTATTTGGGGTGACCAGTCGTATGGCCAGCTAGGAGGTATTTGGGGTGACCAGTCGTATGGTCAGCTAGGAGGTATTTGGGGTGACCAGTCGTATGGTCAGCTAGGAGGTATTTGGGGTGACCAGTCGTATGGCCAGCTAGGAGGTATTTGGGGTGACCAGTCGTATGGCGAGACCTACTGTGTACTTAGCAGCTAGCCTTGCTCACAGGGTTCTAGGTTCCTGTCAGGCTGAGAGAGGATCTCATGGGATCTACAGGTTCATCTGCCTCACCTAAAGCCTATTACTGTAGGAAGTTGCTATGGACCACCAAGTGACAAAAGTCAGTATTTGGACTATATGTGTGAGATGTTGGATAACGTGTGTGATATCGACAGAGGAGGTATATTTTCTGGGTGACCTAAATATTGTACTGGTTGTCATCAAGCTGTCCACTCAAAAATAAGCTCCAAGCTGTAACCAGTGCCTGCAATCTGGTTCAAGTTATCAGTCAACCTACCCAGGGTATTTATAAACAGAACAGGAACTAAATCATCCACGTGTATTGATCACATCTTTACTAATGTTTCAGAAATCTGCTCTAAAGTAGTATCCAGATCCATCAGATGTAGTGACCATAATATAGCAGCCATATCTAGGAAAACCACATTTCCAAAGACTGGACCTAAAAGAAGTGTGCTGTGGATGTCTATGTTGCTATGTTGCTTACTGACGGACCAAGAGGCTAGCCAGTCTGTCGAATACAGGGCACTCACCACGATCACATCTGCTACATTACAGTCAGCCAGCCAGTCAATCAGTCAGCGAGTCTGTCAATCAGTCAGTCAGTCAGTCAGTCTGTAGTCAGTCAGTCAGTCAGTGAGTCCATCAGTCAGTCAGTCTGTAGTCAGTCAGTCAGTCAGTGAGTACATCAGTCAGTCAGTCAGTCAGTGAGTACATCAGTCAGTCAGTCTGTAGTCAGTCAGTCAGTCAGTGAGTACATCAGTCAGTCAGTCAGTCAGTGAGTACATCAGTCAGTCAGTCTGTAGTCAGCCAGGCCCATGCAGCCCTGATGCAGTGAGGTATGAGGCTGGCTGTGAAGTAATAGACTAGTATGCTAGTATGGATAATGTAATAGGCCTACAGTTAGTCATTCAGTCAGTTAGTCATTCAGTCAGTGAGTCAGTCCGCCAATCAGTCAGACAGTCTGTAGTCAGCCAGCCAGTCAGTGAGTCAGTTATTCAGACAGCCAGTCTGTCAGTTAGTCAGTCTGTAGTCAGCCAGCCCCATGCAGCCCTGGGGCAGGGATGTGTGAGGCAGGCTGGATGGCTCTGTATCAATCTTAAAATGAAGCATTGAATTGGGCGTACATCTTAAAATGAATCATTGTATTGGGCATACATCTTAAAATGAAGCATTGTATTGGGCATACATCTTAAAATGAAGCATTGTATTGGGCGTACATCTTAAAATGAAGCATTGTATTGGGCATACATCTTAGAATGAAGAATTTGTCACGCTCGTTTACGGAAGAGACGGACCAAGGCGCAGCGTGATAAGCGTACATTTTATTTGTACTGAACACACGACAAAACAAACGATACGTGAAGTCCTAGGTTACACAAAACAAACCTTACGGAACAAGATCCCACACCGACTAGTGCCAAACAGGCTGCCTAAGTATGGTCCCCAATCAGAGACAACGAGTTACAGCTGCCTCTGATTGGGAACCACCCTGGCCAACATAGATCCATACGATCTAGAAACTAACATAGAAAAATTACCATAGAAACTCCACACCCTGGCTCAACATTTAAGAGTCCCCAGAGCCAGGGCGTGACAGTACCCCCCCCCCCCCCCACCCCAAAGGCGCGGACTGCGACCGCGCTACACAAACACAACAGTGTAGGGGGCGGGTGGGCATTCCGCCTCGGAGGCGGATCCGGCTCCGGGCGTGACCACCACTTTCTCTCCACCTCCCCGTTGCGCCCCTGGTCTGGTCTGGCACCGCTGGCCGGAGCTGGACTGGGCACCGGTGGAGCGGATTGCTCTGGCTCCGGAGTGGATCCGCTGACTGGAGTTGGACCGGACCCCGGTGGAGCGGATTGCTCTGGCTGCGGAGTGGAGCAGCTTACCGGTGCTGGACCAGGCACCGGTGGAACAGGCACGGGCCGTGCCGGACTGGACACACGCACCACAGGCTTGGTGCGGGGAGCAGGAACGGGCCGGACCGTGCTGACGACGCGCACCACTGGCTTGGTGCGGGGAGCAGGAACGGGCCGGACTGGGCTGACGACGCGCACCACAGGCTTGGTGTGGGGAGCAGGAACGGGCCGGACCGGGCTGACGACGCGCACCACTGGCTTGGTGCGGGGAGCAGGAACGGGCCGGACCGGGCTGACGACGCGCACCACTGGCTTGGTGCGGGGAGCAGGAACGGGCCGGACCGGGCTGACGACGCGCACCACTGGCTTGGTGCGGGGAGCAGGAACAGGCCGGACTGGGCTGGCGACGCGCACCACTGGCTTGGTGCGAGGGACAGGAACAGGCCGGACCGGACTGGGAACACGCACCACTGGCCTGGTGCGGGGAGCAGGAACGGGCCGGACTGGGCTGGCGACGCGCACCACTAGCTTGGTGCGGGGAGCAGGAACAGGCCGGGCCGGACTGGGAACACGCACCACTGGCCTGGTGCGGGGAACAGGCACGGGCCGTGCCGGACTGGACACACGCACCACAGGCTTGGTGCGGGGAGCAGGAACGGGCCGGACCGTGCTGACGACGCGCACCACTGGCTTGGTGCGGGGAGCAGGAACGGGCCGGACCGGGCTGACGACGCGCACCACAGGCTTGGTGCGGGGAGCAGGAACGGGCCGGACCGGGCTGACGACGCGCACCACTGGCTTCTGATTGGGAACCACCCTGGCCAACATAGATCCATACGATCTAGAAACTAACATAGAAAAATTACCATAGAAACTCCACACCCTGGCTCAACATTTAAGAGTCCCCAGAGCCAGGGCGTGACAGCATTGTATTGGGCATACATCTTAGAATGAAGCATTGTATTGGGCATACATCTTAGAATTAAGCATTGTATTGGGCATACATCTTATATACATATATATATATATAAAAAAATATATATATATAGTGAGATTTTTTGGGGGGGGTAGATTAGTTTAATATTGCAGATAGATTGTAACTTCCATCAATGTAATTGTCTGCATCACTTCCAATCCCCCATGTTTTTTATATATATACTCCCCTTTATTACTTTTCAACCCCGCCATCCTTTCCCTACTTGGAGTAAACTAGTGAACAACAATGCTTAGGCCTCTACTTCCAGCTTATACTTACTATCTACATTTTATGGACACAGTCAATTTGACAATAATTATATTTTATTTGTTTTTGCTCCTGAACTTCTTCTACTCTCAACCTCTCCGATCATTTTCATGATGTCCATCCGGTTTGCTTCTATATGCCATATCTTTCTAACTGTGCTCTTTCCCAAAAGCTCCCAACATACAACCTATATACTTATTATGGACACAGTATGCTTACATTATTAGTTATCTTGTTATTATTTGTTGTTAGTTGTTATTAGTCCCATCCTTCAACTCCACTCAACACCTCCAATCTATCTCTTAACACCATTGTATTGGGCGTACATCTTAAAATGAAGCATTCTATTGGGCGTACATCTTAAAATGAAGCATTGCATTGGGCGTACATCTTAAAATGAAGCATTGTATTGGGCGTACATCTTAAAATGAAGCATTGTATTGGGTAAACATCTTAGAATGAAGCATTGTATTGGGCATACATCTTAAAATGAAGCATTGTATTGGGCATAGATCTTAGAATGAAGCATTGTATTGGGCATACATCTTAGAATGAAGCATTTTATTGGGCATACATCTTAGAATGAAGCATTGTATTGGGCATACATCTTAGAATGAAGCATTGTTTTGGGCATACATCTTAAAATGAAGCATTGTATTGGGCATACATCTTAGAATGAAGCATTGTATTGGGCATAGATCTTAGAATGAAGCATTGTATTGGACGTACATCTTAGAATGAAGCATTGTATTGGGCATACATCTTAGAATGAAGCATTGTATTGGGCATAGATCTTAGAATGAAGCATTGTATTGGACGTACATCTTAAAATGAAGCATTGTATTGGGCATACATCTTAGAATGAAGCATTGTATTGGACGTACATCTTAAAATGAAGCATTGTATTGGGCATACATCTTAGAATGAAGCATTGTATTGGACGTACATCTTAAAATGAAGCATTGTATTGGGCATACATCTTAGAATGAAGCATTGTTTTGGGCATACATTCTAAGTAGTATGCTACTATAGCTATTGGATATTGCAGTCAGTGCAGTACACTATACAGTGCTGAGGCAGTGAGGTGTGAGGCGTGAGGGTTGAGGCGTGGGGGTTGAGGCAGTGATGGTTGAGGCAGTGATGGTTGAGGGTTGAGGTGTGAGGGTTGAGGCAGTGAGGGTTGAGGCGTGAGGGTTGAGGCAGTGAGTTGTGAGGCATAAGGGTTGAGGCGTGGGGGTTGAGGCAGTGATGGTTGAGGGTTGAGGTGTGAGGGTTGAGGCGTGAGGGTTGAGGTGTGAGGGTTTCAGGCATGAGGATGTAACCTGGTGCAGTGAGTGTTGAGGCAGGCTGGATGTGGCCTGGGGCAGTGAGGGTTGAGGCAGGCTGGATGTGGCCTGGGGCAGTGAGGGTTGAGGCAGGCTGGATGTGGCCTGGTGCAGTGAGTGTTGAGGCAGGCTGGATGTGGCCTGGGGCAGTGAGGGTTGAGGCAGGCTGGATGTGGCCTGGGGCAGTGAGGGTTGAGGCAGGCTGGATGTGGCCTGGGGCAGTGAGGGTTGAGGCAGGCTGGATGTGGCCTGGGGCAGTGAGGGTTGAGGCAGGCTGGATGTGGCCTGGGGCAGTGAGGGTTGAGGCAGGCTGGATGTGGCCTGGGGCAGTGAGGGTTGAGGCAGGCTGGATGTGGCCTGGGGCAGTGAGTGTTGAGGCAGGCTGGATGTGGCACCAGGAGCTCCGCTCTGCTCTGGCGCTATAAATACATAGAGGCCTAGAACACACAGAGGACTTCAATTATTCAGATAAACTTCAGCTGTGGGCTGCATGAGTGTCTGAGAGTGAAACACAGAGAAAAGCCCATTCATATGATAGTATTGCCTGTGTAGCTTTCTGATGGTCCTTGAGTGTTGGCCAGGAAAGCCATTTGTATGTGTAACCGGCTGCACTACACCACCTTGTGGTTGATGGAAGCTCTGAAATGCGATGGGTTTCCCAGAACACAGGCCATCACATAGAAATACACCACAATACAGCAATGGCTTTTTGTAGGTTGAGCAATGACATACATTTCTTGGAAGAACTAAGGATTGTTTTACCTTTCTCTCTCTCTCTGTCTGTCTCTCTAGGTGTGTGGCTTCGTGGGCCTTTAGTACAAGCCAGTGACAGCTCTACCCCTCTCTGTCTCCTCTCTGTCTCTCTAGGTGTGTGGCTTCGTGGGCCTGTACTACAACGTGATCATCGGCTGGAGTATCTTCTACTTCTTCCAGTCATTCCAGTACCCACTGCCCTGGGCAGAGTGCCCCATCAGGGTGATCAACGGGAGCCAAGCCAGTGAGTTCAGACACACAGCACAGTTTAGAACAGGACAGCGAAGGAGAACACAGCAAGACACTGCACTGCATCCTGTAGTACATCACAGTACAGCATCCTGTAGTACATCACAGCACTGCATCATGTAGTACATCACAGCACAGCATCCTGTAGTACATCACAGCACTGCATCCTGTAGTACATCACAGTACAGCATCCTGTAGTACATCACAGCACAGCATCCTGTAGTACATCACAGCACTGCATCCTGTAGTACATCACAGTACAGCATCCTGTAGTACATCACAGCTCAGCATCCTGTAATACATCACAGTACAACACATCATATAACATCACAGTACTGCATCCTGTAGTACATCACAGCACTGCATCCTGTAGTACATCACAGTACAGCATCCTGTAATACATCACAGTACAACACATCATATAACATCACAGTACTGCATCCTGTAGTACATCACAGTACAGCATCCTGTAGTACATCACAGCTCAGCATCCTGTAATACATCACAGTACAACACATCATATAACATCACAGTACAGCATCCTGTAGTACATCACAGCACAGCACATCATATAACATCACAGCACAAAAAAGTCAAACACTGTGCAGTACAGCATGGTTGAGATCGTGGGTACAGCTGAATAAAGCACACTACATTACATTTGGCTACATTGGCCTACTGTAGTTTTCCACTCCATGTGAAAGAGAGCCTGCCTCACTGCGCCTGCTCAGTACTGTATAGTCAACAATACAGTACATAAAAAAATAAGATGTTTTATTGTCACGTGTAGTGAACAGCTGGTAATCTGCCGGTTGAGCAGAGAGAGGATGAGGTGGGATGCAGTCAGAGCAGAGTGTGATGCTGTGATGCTGTGTACTGTCAGAAGGTATAGCCCAGTCTCTGAGTAACCTGCATGCCCTGCGGTGACGGCAGGCAGCACATAGCTCCTCCACTCACCTTGTGTTAGCATTACGTTAGAATGCCAGTCTTAGCTCCCACACTGACCTCTATGCAGATATTAACCGTTGGCCACTATATATACTATATATATACTATACTATATACTATACTATATACTTCACAGCTGTATATTTCTTACATTCTCCCCCCTCTCCCCCTCTACCCCCCTTCTACCCCGCTTCTCCGCGCTCTACTCCGCCTCTACCCCCTCCTCCCCCCCTCGCCCCCTCTCTCTCCGTCCCCTCTCTCCCCCTCTCTCCCTCTCTCCCCCATCTCCCCCTCTCTCCCCCTCTCCCCCTCTCTCCCTCTCTCTCCCTCTCTCCCTCTCTCCCCCTCGCGTCCCCCTCTCTCTCCCCTCTCTCTCTTCCCTCTCCCCCCCTCTTCCCCTCTCTCTCTTCCCTCCCCCTCTCTTTTCCCCCTCTCCCCCCTCTCCCTCTCTCTCCCTCTCTCCCCTCCCCTCCCCCCCTCTCCCCCCTCTCTCCCCCTCTCTCCCTCTCCCCTCTCTCCCCCTCTCCTCCCCTCTCCCCCTCATCTTTTCCCCCGTCTCCCCTCTCACCTCCCTCCCTCCTTCCCTCCCTCCCTCCCTTTCCCTCCCCCCTCCCTCCCTCCCTCCCCCTCCCTCCCTCCCTCCTTCCCTCCCTCTAGTCATCGAGCCGGAGTGTGAAAAGTCTTCTGCCACCACCTACTTCTGGTACCGGCAGACCCTGAACATCACCAGCACCATCGAGGACAGCGGAGGCCTCAACTGGAGGATGACCCTGTCCCTGTTCGCCGCCTGGCTCATCGTCTGTCTGGCAGTGATCAAGGGCATCCAGTCATCCGGGAAGGTAACAGGCAGAGATCTATTATATACGTGTATACATGTACTGTATATATACTATCTGAAGGTACTGTATACAGTACTACAGTCGTGGTCAAAAGTTTTGAGAATAACACAAGTATTGGTCTTCACAAAGTTCGCTGCTTCAGTGTTTTTAGATATTTTTGTCAGATGTTACTATGGTATACTGAAGTATAATTACAAGCATTCCATAAGTGTCAAAGGCTTTTATTGACAATTACATTAAGTTTATGCAAAGAGTCAATATTTGCGGTGTTGACCCTTCTTTTTCAAGACCTCTGCAATCCGCCCTGGCATGCTGTCAATTAACTTCTGGGCCACATCCTGACTGATGGCAGCCCATTCTTGCATAATCAATGCTTGGAGTTTGTCAGAATTTGTGGGGTTTTGTTTGGCCACCCACCTCTTGAGGATCGACCACAAGTTCTCAATGGGATTAAGTTCTGGGGAGTTTCCTGGCCATGGACCCAAAATGTCGATGTTTTGTTCCCCGAGCCACTTAGTTATCACTTTTGCCTTATGGCAAGGTGCTCCATCATGCTGTAAAAGGCATTGGTCGTCACCAAACTGTTCTTGGATGGTTGGGAGAAGTTGCTCTCGAAGGATGTGTTGGTACCATTCTTTAATCATGGCTGTGTTCTTAGGCTTTAGGAGACGGTCCTGGCGCTTGCTGGACTTTCTTGGGCGCCCTGACGCCTTCTTCACAACAATTGAACCTCTCTCCTTGAAGTTCTTGATGATCCGATAAATAGTTGATTTAGGTGCAATCTTACTAGCAGCAATATCCTTGCCTGTGAAGCCCTTTTTGTGCAAAGCAATGATGACGGCACGTGTTTCCTTGCAGGTAACCATGGTTAACAGAGGAAGAACAATGATTTCAAGCACCACCCTCCTTTTAAAGCTTCCAGTCTGTTATTCTAACTCAATGAGCATGACAGAGTGATCTCCAGCCTTGTCCTCGTCAACACTCCCACCTGTGTTAACGAGAGAATCACTGACATGATAGCAGCTGGTCCTTTTGTGGCAGGGCTGAAATGCAGTGGAAATGTTTTTTTGGGATTAATTTCATTTTCATGGCAAAGAGGGACATTGCAATTAATCTGATCACTCTTCATAACATACTAACTGTAAGTCGCTCTGGATAAGAGCGTCTGCTAAATGACTAAAATGTAAAATGTAATTCTGGAGTATATGCAAATTGCCATCATCAAAACTGAGGCAGCAGACTTTGTGAAAATTAGTATTTGTGTCATTCTCAAAACTTTTGACCACGACTGTATACATGTGTATAAATGTACTGTATATATACTATCTGAAGGTACTGAATACAGTGCATTTGGAAGATATTCAGACCCCTTGATTTTTTCCACATTTTGTTACATTACAGCCTTATTTCTAAAATTGATTAAATCATTTTTTTCCCTCATCAATCTACATACAATACCCCATAACGACAAAGCAAAAACAGGTTTTTAGAAATGTTTGCAAATGTATTAAAAATAAAAAACAGAAATATTACATTTACATAAGTATTCAGACCCTTTACTCAGTACATTGTTGAAGCACCTTCGGCAACGATACAGCCTCGAGTCTTCTTGGGTATGATGCTACAAGTTTGGCACACCTGTATTTGGGGAGTTTCTCCCATTCTTCTCTGCAAATCCTCTCAAGCTCTGTCATGTTGGATGGGGAGAGTCGCTGCACAGCTATTTTCAGGTCTCTCCAGAGATGTTCGATTGGGTCCAAGTCCGGGCTCTGGCTGGGCCACTCAAGGACATTCAGAGACTTGTCCCGAAGCCACTCCTGCATTGTTTTGGCTGTGTGCTTAGGGTCATTTGCCCCAGTCTGAGGTTCTGAGCGCTCTGGAGCAGGTTTTCATTAAGGATCTCTCTGTACTTTGCTCCGTTCATCTTTCCCTTGATCCTGACTAGTCTCCCAGTCCCTGCCGCTGAAAAACATCCCCAAAGCATGATGCTGCCACCACCATGCTTCACTGTACGGTGGTCCCAGGTTTCCTAGAGACTTGAGGCTTGGCATTCAGCCCATGGAGTTCAATCTTGGTTTCATCAGATCAGAGAATCTTGTTTCTCATGGTCTGAGTCTTTAGGTACCTTTTGGCAAACTCCAAGTGGGCTGTCGTGCCTTTTACTGAGGAGTGGCTTCCGTTTGGCCACTCTACCATAAAAGCCTGATTGGCAGAGTGCTGCAGAGATGGTTGTCCTTCTGGAAGGTTCTCCCATCTCCACAGAGGAACTCTGGTGCTCTCAGAGTGACCATCGGGTTCTTGGTCACCTCCCTTAACAAGGGCCTTTTCCACCGATTGCTCAGTTTGGCCGGGCGGCCAGCTCTAGGAAGAGTCTTGGTGGTTCCAAACTTCTTCCAATGTTCTTGCGGACATTCAAAGCTGCAGAAATGTTTTGGTACAATTCCCCAGATCTGTGCCTCAACACAATCCTGTCTCGGGGCTCTACTGCAATTCCTTCAACTTCATGTCTTGGTTTTTGCTCTGACATGCACTGTCAACTGTGGGACCTTATATAGACAGGTGTGTGCCTTAACAAATCATGTCCAATCAATTGAATTTACCACAGGTGGACTCCAATCAAGTTGTAGAAACATCTAAAGGATGATCATACCTGAGCTCAATTTCGAGTCTCATAGCAAAGCGTCTGAATACTTATGTAAATAAGGTATTTCTGTTTTTTATTTTTTATAAATTAGCAAAAATTTCAAAAAAACTGTTTTCACTTTGTCATTATGGGGTATTGTTTGTAGATTGATTTGTATTCAATAAAATTTTTGAATAAAGCTGTAACGTAATAAAATATTGAAAAAGTCAAGGGGTCTGAATACTTTCCGAATGCACTGTATATGACTCTGTAAATGTACAGGGTCGGGAGCATTGTCTTCCGACAGCTACTGTATGTTGTTGTAGCATGACTCTATCTGTGCTAAGACAGTGGGGGAGGGGTTACATGAAAAAGAAACACTGGTATTGTTGAAATTGTTCTCGAAAGCTCAAGAGATCCATTCAGTTTCACTTTTTCAAATACAGATATTTTCCTATGGACTTTCTATGAGTACTGTACTGTAGGAAGACATTCACATCCTCTCTCATGTATAAGTATACACATTCTCATGAGTATTTTTATACTGGCTGAACTGTGACATATCCTATGGTGAGAAAGGCTAAAATGCTAAAGCACAAAACAATACTATTATTATTATATTTTTTTTTATGGGGGTAGATCAGCTTAATATTGCAGATAGATTGTAACTTCTATCAATGTAATTGTCTGCATCACTTCCAATCCCCCATGTTTTTTTATATATATACTCCCCTGTATTACCTCTACTTCCAGCCTATACTTACTATCTACATTTTATGGAGACAGTCCATTTTACAATCATTCTATTTTTTATTTTTTTTATTTTTTTGCTCCTGAACTTCTTCTACTCTCAGCCTCTCCGATCATTTTCATGATGTCCATCCGGTTTGCTTCTATATGCCATATCTTTCTAACTGTGCTCTTTCCCAAAAGCTCCCAACATACAACCTATATACTTATTATGGACACAGTATGCTTACATTATTAGTTATCTTGTTATTATTTGTTGTTATTTGTTATTAGTCCCATCCTTCAACTCCATTCAATACCTCCCATCTATCTCTTAACACCATCCATATAGGGTTTCTATTTGCCATATATATTTCAACCGTACTGTGATGTTTTACAAAAGTTCTGAACCTTTCTATTCTCATTGCTTCTACAGATTGTGAATTAAAAATAAACATTTTTGCTAAAAGTATTATTATATTATTGATCGATTGACTATGACTTTTCAGATCACCCAGTAATGCTATCTGCAAGGTTAGCTCCAGGTAAATATTGCAATCCTTTAGCCATTCCTGGACCTGTGTCCAAAAACAAGCTACAAATGGACAGAACCAAAACAAATGATCTATTGATTCTGTCTCTTCGCAGCAAAATCTGCAGAGTTGGGAAGATTGTATCCCCCATATAAATAACATTCTATTGGTAGCAAGAATTTTATATAATAATTTAAATTGAAAGATTCTAATTTTTGAATCCGGTGTCGTTTTGCGTGTCAGTTCATAAACACTATGCCATGGGATCAGTACGTCAAAAATCTCTTCCCAACTATTTTGCAATCTATATGGGACGGCTGTCAATTCTTTGGTCCTTAAGTGAAACTGATATACTTTTTTATTTATCACAGTTCTCCTTAACCAATTATGTTCTTTAATGCAAGGCCGACAGACAAGTTCCTTACTTTCTCCCCTTCCACTTTCCTCTTCCACTTTTGCGGTAAGGCTGCAATTATTTGGTTGTAATTTTGGGTAGAGCAGACATTTCCATATGTTTTTGTTAGCTGCATGTGCGACATAACTCCACCAGTCCTACCGATGATATCATTTACGACGATTATACCTTTTTTAAACATTCTGTCAAAAAATAAAGGTTTTTTGTCAATTATTATATTTGAATTTAACCACAATATTTGTTGCATTATTTGTTCTGTCGTTTCTGGAGGATTAAATTGAAATTGCAACCAACTTTCTATGGCTTGTTTTAGAAATAGTGATATTTGGGAGATGATTTCCTTTTCAAATAACTGAAAATGAGTTGTTGTAATCTGAATAAAGGGAAAAAGGCCTTTCTTGAACATTGGGTGAGACAATCTTACTAATTTGCTTGAGAACCAGTTTGGATTTAAGTATAACTTTTGTATGACTGAAGCTTTTAGTGATAGGTCTAATGCTTTAATATTTAATAATTTCTGTCCTCCGAATTCATATTCATTATATAAATAGGCCCTTTTAATTTTGTCTGGCTTGCCGTTCCAAATAAAATATAATATTTGTTCTCATATAATTTAAAAAACTGTTCGCTAGGCGTAGGCAAGACCATAAGCAAATAGGTAAACTGGGATAATACTAAAGACTTAATCAGGGTGATTTTTCCACAAATTGACAGGTATTTTCCTTTCCATGGTAGTAAGATCGTATCTATTTTTGCTAACTTTATATTAAAATGTATTGAAGTGAGATCATTTATTTCCTTTGGGATATGTATTCCGAGTATATCCACATCACCATCAGACCATTTTATTGGTAAGCTACATGGTAATGTAAACATTAAATTTTTTAGTGATCCAATACGTAATATAGTACATTTGTCATAATTTGGTTGTAATCCAGAGAGGTTAGAAAATGTATCTAGATCCTCTATGAGGCTGTGGAGGGATTATAGTTGTGGATTTAAAAGAAAACATGAATCATCAGCGTACAATGACACCTTTGTTTTTAAGCCCTGGATTTCTAATCCTCTGATATTATTATTGGATCTGATTTTAATAGCTAACATCTCAATGGCCACAATACATAGATATGCCGATAGTGGACAACCTTGTTTCACTCCTCTTGACAGTTTAAAACTTTCTGAGAAATAGCCATTATTTACTATTTTACACCTAGGGTTACTATACATGATTTTGACCCATTTTATAAGAGATTCTCCTAAATTGAAATGCTCAATACTATTTTTAGTTTTTTTTTATGTTATGGGGAATGAAGCATCCAAAATGAATGAGCTTAGTCTTAAGAGTCTAGGAGGCACAGTGTGGTTCGATGACTGAATCCCAAATGTTGCCCTATTCTCTATATAGTGCACTACTTTTGACCAGAGCCTTGGTCAATGTAGTGGACTATATAGGGTATATGGCACCATTTGGGATTCAGACTAACAATGTGCTTTCATCTCAGTCCAAACAATGAGTCGTGATCACAACACAACATCCAACCCACATTTTGGAATAGGGAAATACATAAGAGACATTGCCAAGATCTGACACCGTTTGTCTGAATTCCAAATAGCATCTTATCTCCCTGTACACTGAGCCTACAAAACATTAGGAACACCTTCCACAGTTGTGTCAAGTTGGCTGGGTGTCCTTTGGGTGGTGGACCATTCTTGATACACACGGGAAACTGTTGAGCGTGAAAAACCCAGCAGCGCTGCAGTTCTTGACACAAACCTGTGCGCCTGTCACCTACTACCATACCCCAGTTCAAAGGCATTTAAATATTTTGTCTTGCCCATTCACCCTCTGAATGGCACTCATACACAATCCATGTCTCAGTTGTCTCAAGGCTTAAAAATCCTTCTTTAACCTGTCTCCTCCCCTTCATCTACACTGATTTTAAGTGGATTTAACAAGTGACATCAATAAGGGATCATAGCTTTCACCCGGATTCACCTGGTCAGTCTATGTCATGGAAACAGCAGGGGTCATGGGTCATGGGTCAGGGGTCTCCAACCTTTTCTAGGTCATGGTCAAAAGTAGTGCACTATATAGGAACATTTTAACATGGGACTATTATTATAAATTACCAAAGTTATGATAGATTGCCATAGAGTTTCTATTCATTACCAAAAACACTGAAGATTTCCGGTAACTTTAGTAAACTACCGGTAGCTTAGCAACCATACGCGTGTGCGTGTTTGTGCGTTCATGCCTCTGTGTGCACGTGTGTATGCATGTGTCTGTGTCAGTGTCTCTGTCTGTTTGAAGCATCACAATGTGGCCCCTCTTCACTGTGAGGCCAGACTAGTTTGAGGCAGTGTGGTAGTGTCCATGGTAACAGTGTGGTGGTGTCCATGGTAACAGTGTGGTGGTGTCCATGGTAACAGTGTGGTGGTGTCCATGGTAACTGTGTGGTGGTGTCCATGGTAACAGTGTGGTGGTGTCCATGGTAACAGTGTGTACAGTCCTCTGTCTGTCGCCCCTCTCAGGTGATATACTTCATGACTGTGTGTGTGTGTGTGTGTGTGTGTTGTGTGTGTGTGTGTGTGTGTGTTGTGTGTGTGTGTGTGTTGTGTGTGTGTGTGTGTTGTGTGTGTGTGTGTGTGTGTTGTGTGTGTGTGTTGTGTGTGTGTGTGTGTGTGTGTGTGTGGTGTGTGTGTGTTGTGTGTGTGTGTGTGTGTGTGTGTGTGTGTGTGTGTGTGTGTGTGTGTTGTGTGTGTGTGTGTGTGTTGTGTGTGTGTGTGTGTGTGTGTGTTGTGTGTGTGTGTGTGTGTGTGTGTGTGTGTGTGTGTGTGTGTGTGTGTGTGTGTGTGTGTGGTGTGTGTGTGTGTGTGTTTTCTCCTATCAGGTGATGTACTTCAGCTCTCTCTTCCCCTACGTGGTGTTGATCTGTTTCCTCGTCAGAGGCCTGATGCTCAAAGGATCTGTTGACGGCATCGCTCACATGTTCACCCCAAAGGTACACACACACACACCAAAGGTACACACACACACACACACACACACACACACACACACACCAAAGGTACACACACACACACACACACACACACACACACACACACACACACACACACACACCAAAGGTACACACACACACACACCATCCTTCATCTGTGGTACTGAAAATTACAGCTCCACAGATTCAACTCACCTGCTTATCTCAGTCTGCATGTTGTGTACCTGAAGGTACAACACGGCCATCCAACATCCAACCCTATCTCCGACTCCATCTCAAGCACAGGGCCGAGGCTGTCATCGCACAGACTAGAGGCAGACTAGAGAGCATTGTTGCAGAGCTCACATTCTGAGAGGTTTTCTGATATGGCAGTGTCTGTTTGTCTGTCTGAACGGGATTCTATGAAGGGAAACTCTAGTCACAGGGCAGAGTTTGTCCTGCAGTCTTTTATTCCTCATTCTTGCCTCACATTCTTTGCAGGGATAGGAACGTTGATCCTCACCCTTAGATAGTTAGATTAGATTAGTGTTTTAGTCAAAACATTTTCTTTGAAGGACACTCAACCATAATTCATGTATTCAATGCCTCTGTACTGGATGTCTGGATCCTTAGAGCGATGTCAGACTGAGAGTGTGAAAATGTGGTTGTTGTCTCCCTCTAGAGGCTGAATTAGGTACTCACACTAGATTGTGACTTTATCCTCTTGCAAAGTGCAAAAAGGGGAGGCCATGATTGTGTGGAACGTTACATAGTTGCCCCTGACCTCTGACCTCTAACCCCAGTTGGAGAAGATGCTGGAGCCCCAGGTTTGGAGGGAGGCAGCCACCCAGGTGTTCTTCGCCCTGGGGTTAGGGTTCGGAGGGGTCATAGCCTTCTCCAGCTACAACAAACGGGACAACAACTGCCACTTTGACGCAGCGCTGGTCTCCATCATCAACTTCATCACCTCCATCCTGGCTACGCTGGTGGTGTTCGCCGTGCTGGGGTTCAAGGCCAACATCATGAACGAGAAATGTGTTGTGGAGTGAGTATATCCAGCCTGGTCCCAGATCTGTTTGTGCTGTCTTCTGGAGTTAATCTGCTATATAACCAGTCCTTCCTCTTGAATCCTGACTTAATATTAGGTGTCGTCGGAGTAAATCTGCTGTCCACTCAGTAGTTCCTCTTCGCGTACATTTGAATCATTATGGGACAATTTATATATGTTTTGCAGTGCATCATAATTCAAAAAAGCTTCAATCCAACGCAGGACTAACGATGGTGATCTCTGTAAACACTGCAGATGTTGGCTCAGGCAAGAAAACACTTCAAAGTAAATGACAGTGCACAGGTCGTTAATCTGTGTTTGTTTGAATTCTGATCTCACTTGTCAACAGAAATCTCAACCAAACTAATAATTTCGTCAAACTCAAATAACTTAACCAATAGCATATTGTCATTGTAAAATAGAGTCAATCTCTTTCAGCACTAACCTTACCCCCTCTGTCTCTCCTACCCGTTACTATATGAACGCAGCTAGATGAGATCTCTATCTTACAACTAACACTCACCCTTTCCTCCTCTCCTCTCCCCTCCTTTCTACAGGAATGCTGAGAAGATCCTAGGTTACCTGAACACAGGTGTGTTGAGCCATGATCTGATCCCTCCCCATGTCAACTTCTCTCACCTGTCAGCTGTGGACTATCAGGAGATGTATGGAGTGATCAAGACTGTGAAGGAGGACAGCTTCGATCAGCTGGGACTGGACCCCTGTGTCCTGGAGGACGAACTCAACAAGGTATGTTGGTCTGGAGCCCTGTGTCCTGGAGGACGAACTCAACAAGGTATGTTGGTCTGGAGCCCTGTGTACTGGAGGACGAACTCAACGAGGTATGTTGGTCTGGAGCCCTGTGTCCTGGAGGACGAACTCAACACGCTATGTTGGTCTGGAGCCCTGTGTCCTGGAGGACGAACTCAACACGCTATGTTGGTCTGATTTGGTTTAGTGTTGGAAATACGTTTTTTGTGTGTGACATTTTCACACACACACACACACAAAAATATAACTTTTTGTGAACTTTCATGTAAATCCATAGAACTGAGATTAAGCCCAGTCCTGATTTTTCCAGTCCTGTTTTCGGTCTGGAAGACTGGCCCATAAAGTATAGATTTCATACTCTGATAAACACCCAAAGCACTTCCAACATCATCTACAACCACTTTTAGATGGAAAACGGCCGCCTCATTATGTGAAGTGAAATATAGTGAAGACACAACGATAGAACATCTCTTTCTCTTTCTCTTTCTCCAGGCAGTGCAGGGAACAGGCCTGGCCTTCATTGCCTTCACTGAGGCCATGACCCACTTCCCTGCCTCTCCGTTCTGGTCCGTCATGTTCTTCTTCATGCTGATTAACCTGGGGCTGGGGTCCATGATCGGCACCATGACAGGGATCACCACACCTGTGCTGGACGCCTTCCCCAAGATACGCAAGGAGTTCCTCTGTGGTAAGGCTTCTATTGGTTGGTTGGTTTATTCTTTATCAGTCAGAAGTCAAAGGTCTGTTGGCATCAGCCAATAGCTGTTGAAAGAGACTGTTGTATGCCTTACATTGAATTGGTAAGCATCAGAAATGTAGTCACATAATCAGCCTGACATATTTATTCTCTACATTTACATTTTAGTCATTTAGTAGACGCGCTTATCCTCTAGTCTTCCTCTCTCAGTGTGCAGTTGCATCGTAGCCTTCTTCTGTGGTCTGTATGTATGATTATTAATGTTTTCCCCTCCTCTTCCTCCTCTCCCTTGAGTGGACGAGGGAAGAGAGGAAGAAGGAGAAGGAAGGAGAGAGCGACAAAGAAAGGAATGAGGAAGAAAAGGAAGGAGACGGGGGGAGGAAGAAGAGGAAGAAGAGGAAGCAAGAGGAAAGAGGGAGAGGAAGAGAGAAGAAGGCACTAGAAGGCAGAAGAGAGCGGAAGAAGGGAAGAAGAGGACGAGAGGATCTATGAGACGCCTAAGAGAGAAGCAGAGGACGCAGATTCCTCATTCAGTATCTTCATATAATCAGCGTACTCATCCTCTTCCTCCTTATTATAAGTGGTGTGGCATTGTGGCGTTCGTCTGGGCCTGCTGTTTGTCCAGCGCTCTGGAATACTTTTGTAACCAGGTTGATGATTACTCAGCGGCCTGCCGCTCATGTGGTGGTCATACTGGAGAATATATCGTGGCAGGATTACGGCACCAAGAGTTACTGGATGGTAAACGTGACCCAAGAACTTACATATTCCTTACAGCAGTTGCCAAGGAGAAATGGCTTGTACATTTTAGTGCTGTGAAAAAAGCGGGGGAAGAAGAAAGGAAGCGAAAAAAAGAAAGACGGAAAACAAGAGTTTCTTTTTGGGCGCGACGAGAGAAGGGAGAGAGAGGAGAGCAAGAGAGAGAGTAAAAGAGGAGAGAGGAGCGGGGAGAAGCGAACGAAGACGAGAGAGAGAGCAGAGAAGAGGGGGGACGAGAAGGGAAAAAGAAGGAGAGAGAGAGGTGTATACGGAAAAAAGCGAGAAAGAGGAGAGGAGGAAGAGAGCGGATGAGGAGATAAGGACCGATGGTGACAAAAGACAACGCCGCACCTGCCCAGACGAGTCCCCCCCCCCCAGCCCCCCAAGATGAAGACGTATTTCGATCGATCACCAGTGCGGAGAGAACGCATAGTTTATTCAAAGCGACTGAAGAGCGCCGAGCAGCGTAGGGAGGCAGAAAGGAAGACGCAGTATAAACATAAGGCCCTAGAGGTAGACGAAAGGAGACCGAAGCTGGAGGGAAGGTGCAGAGAAAAGTAGAGCGAAGAGAACTAACAGAGATGCAGAGGAGAGAGGAGAAGAGCACGAGAGAACGCATAGGGGAGAGTAATGATACGATAAGTAGTAGATATATCGCTCTATATAGATTTATCTATCCCTAAGATCTGTATCTAGATAATTACTATGTTATCTCTCTTTCAATGGGAAAGAGGTAGAGCGAGGAAAAGAGAATGTAAAGGGAGAAAGAGTGAGAGAGACGGGAAAAGAGGAGAGCGCGAGGGAGAGCGAGATCAAAGAGGGGAAGACTCGCTCGGGATAGCCGCACTCTGAGAGCGAGCTCGGCATGCCCGGCGGGACGCAAGATAGGGATAGTCGGCCGGCACGCAGGGAGAGCCGTTTCTGCTACGACTTAACTCTGTCTCTCCCTTGCTCTTCCTTCACCTCTCTCCTCTCTCCTGCCCGGTCCGCCCCCCTCTGTCTCTCTCTCTTTCTCTCTCCTTCACTCTCTCTCCCTCTCTCTCTCTCCCTCTCTCCTTCCCTCTGTCTCTCTCTCTCTCTCTCTCTCTCTCCTTCCTTCCCTCTCTCTGTGTCTCTCTCTCAGGTTCATGCAGGACCTAGAGGACATGTTGGGTTTCAGACCCTACTCTTTCTATTTCTATATGTGGAAGTACGTGTCTCCTGCCTGTCTCACCGTGCTCATCGTGGCCACTGTGATAGAGATGGCCGTCAGTCCTGCTGGGTACAACGCCTGGGTGGAGGAACTGGTCAGTGAATCTTTACCTCTGTTACAACGCATTTGTACTAATCCATCCAACTCACCTAACCGGCACCTCACTCTGAGTCCACTGACTACAAAGTGGCAATCGTTTTCATGGTCCTTCGAGCCGGATGGGTTTTGAACGGCATGGTTCTCCTTGAAGCATCTTTGTATTCACACATGCATTTACCTGCCCTTTAAAATGTTTCTAAATTAATAAAAAATGAAAAGTTGGAATGTCTTCAGTCAGTAAGTATTCAACCCCTTTGTTATGGCAAGCCTAAATAAGTTCAGAAGTAAAAATGTGCTTAACAAATCACATAATAAGATGCATGGACTCATTCTGTATTCAATAATAGTGGTTAACATGATTTTTTAATGACAACCTCATCTCTGTACCCAACACATACAATTATCTGTAAGGTCCCTCAATCGAGTAGTGAATTTCAAGCACAGATTCAACCACAAAGACATGGGAGGTTTTTCAATGCCTCACGAAGAAGGTGCACTGATTAGTAGATGTGTAACAACAACCAAAAAGTGGACTCTGAATATCCCTTTGAGCATGGTGAAGGTATTAATTAGGCTTTTGATGGTGTATCAATACACCCAGTCACTTCCTAAATCAGTTGCCAGAGAGTAAGAATACAAATATTCCAAAACATGCATCCTGTTTGCAACAAGGCACTTAAGTAATACTTCAAAAGAATCTAGCAAAGAAAATGCATTTTTTTGTCCTGAATACAAAATGTTATGTTTGGTCAAAATCCAACACAACACATCACTGAGTACCACTCTTCATATTTTCAAGCATGGTGGTGGCTGCATCATGTTATGGGTATGCTTGTCATCGGCAAGAACAAGGGAGGTTTTTTAGAATAAAAAGTAACATACTAAAGATAAGCACAGGCAAAGTGTAATTGTTAAGGATTGGGGAGTTTTTCAGGATAAAAGATAAACGGAATGTTGTAGGCAAAATCCCAGAGGAAAACCTGGTTGTCTGCTTTCCACCAGACACTGGGAGACGAATTCACCTTTCAGCAGGACAATAACCTAAAACACAAGGCCAAATATACACTGGAGTTGCTTACCAAGATGACATTGAATGTTCCTGAAGTGGCCTAGTTACAGTTTTGAATTAAATTGGCTTGAAAATCTATGGCAAGACTTGAAAAATGGCTGTCTAGCAATGATCGTCAACCAACTTGACAGAGCTTTAATAATTTTTTTAAAAGAAAATTGACAAATGTTGCACAATCCAGGTGTTCAAAGCTCTTGGAGACTCACAGCTGTAATCGCTGCCAAAGGTGTTTCTAACATGTGTTGTCTCAGTGGGGTGAATACTTATCAGAGTTTTCTTCCACTTTGACATTACAGAGAGTATTTTTGTGTAGATCGTTGACAAAAAATGTCAATTAAATCCATTTTAATCCCACTTTATATAACACAACAAAATGTGGAAAAAGTCAAGGGTTGTGAATACTGTATATTCCATCATCAGTTTATCATGTGTTTGTACCTCGTAGACACTTCTTCCTTGTGTTTTTATACAGTTGCGAATTCAACTGCCCAATATTGGGACATTAAAAGCATTTCTGGATCTGGATCTCAGTGTTTCTTCCATCTCTCCCCCCCCCCCCGCTAGGCATCGGAGAAATTCCTCTCCTACCCTCCGTGGGCTCTGGGCGTGGCCTACTCCCTCATCATCGCCGCCATGCTTCCTCTCCCCTGCGTCTTCATCGCCCGCCACTTCAACCTGCTCTCTGACGGCTCCAACAAGCTGTCCGTCTCCTACCGTAAAGGCATGACCAAGGACCTCTCTGGCCTGGAGGAGGAGAACGAGTCCCGCTTCATCCTCAGTAAAGGCACCCCCAGCCCCAGCCCCAACCCTTCGCCCATGCCCTCTCACCGCCCCTACCTGGGGCCCGGCGGAGCCCAGGAGATGACCAACACGGCTGGATATGGTACCGGGACACCGACCAAGACGGGTTATCAGAATATTAATTCGCCAGAGTCCGAACTATGATCGATCTGATGAATGAAGCACAAGAAACCCTATCTAATCAAACACAACACAACACAACCCCTCCAGAGAGAGAGAGAGAGAGAAAGAGCACTCTCTCTACTGTTCAGCTATCGGTAAAGCACAGCCTCCCCCTCTACTGTTCACCTAGCTATAAAGCACAGCCCCCCACCTCTCTCTACTGTTCACCTAGATGTAAAGCACAGCCCCCCCCCCCTCCACTGTTCACCTATCGGTAAAGCACAGCCCCCCCCCCCCCCTTTACTGTTCACCTAGCTGTAAAGCACAACCCTCCCCACTCCCCATACCATAGAGCATCTCTGAGCCTTAACACACTTTCATTCTAATCTAAAACAACCTCCCCACATCGCCCCCTAATCCAAACAAAACCGTGGCCCTAACAAGCCCAGCAGAGCCACTACCAATGATGATGTCAGTCCTCGTCCTACATCACTCAGAGGCACAGAGGAAGAAGGAGGCCCCCATTTTAATTCAGTCTTAGAAGGCAGGCAGGGGGTGATTCATCTGAGCACAGATAAACCAAGCAGCTAGCATTTTGATCATCAGGCAGCGTGTGTGTGTATGTTTGTCGTAGTGCATACGTGAATGTGCGTGCTCCCCAGCCAGCCCAGGTTACCCCAGTATTATAAATAGAACTGTGATACCCAGGGGAAGCTTGTCACAGACGTTGGCAACCGGCCCCGGCAACGTAGTGCCATGGTGATGAATCCTCCTGTGATGTCATGGAGGAGGGCACACACACACACGAGGGCACGTTGATGCGCTTTGTCAACCAGCTGTTACCAAGCCGGGTTGTGTTCATTAGAGAGAAAACGTTTAGAAGCAGAGTGAAACCAGCTGTTATCAAGCCGGGTTGTGTTCATTAGAGAGAAAACGTTTAGAAGCAGAGTGAAACCAACTGTTATCAGGCTGGGTTGCGTTCATTCGGAAGAAAACGTTTAGAAGCAGAGTGAAACCAGCTGTTATCAAGCCGGGTTGTGCTCATTAGGGAGAAAACATTTAGAAGTAGAGTGAAACCAGCTATTATCAATCCGGGTTGTGTTCATTTAAGGAGAAAATGTTTAGAAGCAGAGTGAAACCAACTGTTAAAAAAAACAATTGAAACAGGGAGGTACAGCCTGAATGTGTACTAAGATACTACCTAAGAATTTGAGCACAGATTGTAGTTTTCCGTTGCAAAATGTTTTGCTACGGTGTGACCTATTGAACACTACCCAGGTGTGCCGCCAAGCCATTATATATATGGATTTCTGTTGACCGTTGTTCAGAAATGGATCAATGGAAAATGTAGGGTTAATTATTATTGTACATTCCTCTAATCATCTTCTTCGATAAGCACTCTGATCAATCAATGGCACTAATAATATATTTATTTATGTGAATTGTCAAGTTTGACTTTTTATTTTAATGGTTGAGATAATTGTATGACAGTTGAGTGGATTATGTAGTCTATAATACTGTAGTGTACAAAATGAAAGTTGTTTTTTTGTTGTTGCAATAGAAGACTTGAACCACAGTGTGGCACTGTTGGCCACCAGAGGAGTACCTGACGGTATCTGTGTGTCTCCTGCCCCTCCCAGAAGACAGTGATGACACACACAGAGCACACTGTGGCTCTTTCTAAAAAATCCATCCTCTCCTTCATTGCACTGATCTGAAAGAACTGATCAGGTTAAATATTTTCCAAACAGTGCAGATGAAGGGGGAGAAATGATGCGATTGAGAATGAGATACATCCGAGCTGTTGCTAGCAGCCAGACCAGAGATGGTTGGTTTATAATGTTGAAACAGGATTTGGCCAACCTATTGATGGTGTATAATGTTGATACAGGCTATGGTCAACCTGTTGATGGTTCAGAATGTTGATACAGGCTATGGTCAACCTGTTGATGGTTCAGAATGTTGATACAGGATTTGGTCAACCTGTTGATGGTTCAGAATGTTGATACAGGCTATGGTCAACCTGTTGCATCACAGCCAGAGGTTGCTAGGGACTGCTTGTTGGATCACAGCCCCAGGTTGCTAGGGACTGCTTGTTGGATCACAGCCACATGTTGCTAGGGACTGCTTGTTGGATCACAGCCACAGGTTGCTAGGTACTGCTTTTTGGATTACAGCCACAGGTTGCTAGGGACTGTTTGTGGATCACAGCCACAGGTTGCTAGGGACTGCTTGTTGGATCACAGCCACATGTTGCTAGGGACTGTTTGTGGATCACAGCCACAGGTTGCTAGGGTCTACTTGTTGGATCACAGCCACAGGTAAATTATGGATGACCAATTAGAGAGCTAGAATCACTTGAACTATTATTGATTTATTGATGGAGGGAGGGAGGGAGGGAGGAGAGAGGGAGAGAGAGAGAGAGAGGAGAGAGAGAGACGAGAGAGAGAGATCAAGCTGGTACTATAGAGGAGCAGAGAAGGGATCTGACCGAGCTCGAGGTAAGAGCGCGCCCCGCGAGAGTGAGCAGAGCGGAGAGACGCTCACGGAGAGAGACTGGCAGATCGAGAGGAGACGAGCGGAGAGAGACGGATGATCCTGAGAGAGACTCAGACGAGAGAGAGAGACCGTCTGAGATAGACGAGAGAGAGAGGGAGTGAGAAGAAATGGAGAGAGGAGAGAGAGGGAGGAGACGAGAGAGAGAGAAGGGAGATGGGAGAGAGGAGTTAACCATCATACAGTACTCCGACTTTAATGTCATGCAGGCAGCTTCTGCCAAAGTGTGGTCTCTGTCTGGTCTGACACTACCCAGGAGGATCTGTCTGGTCTGACACTACCCAGGAGGAGCTGTCTGGTCTGACACTACCCAGGAGGAGAGAGACTTGAAGGTGTTTGTGCACATGGGCCCGATTCAGACATTGGAAATTACACCTTTCCTACGCACACCTTTCCTACGCACTTCTCAGTAGTTGGTATTCAAACTTACCTTATGAAGTTGCATAACGGGCTTTGCAGGCGTGGTTCCCTTGTGGGCAGTGACTACATGTAATTCAACCACTGAAAACCCTCTCACTTGCTGGCCAACAGATTTTCTTGTGGAGTTTTCAATCAATAGAGTTTTCAGTACATTTATCTTAAGCCATCCCTTTAAATACGGTGCACCTTTAATTTGAATTTTGTCGACAGACTAGAATACATTGAGAGAACAGGTTCATAAAATAGGGATCAATTAAAGAAAGCCATCTAAATATATGCATATTTGTCTTCATTTCATCACCAACTGGTAGTTTTAAAAATACTCTGATTATTTAGCCACATTTTAGGGTTAGGGAGAATGAATCATTAAAAAAAAACAGGTTTGGAGATCCTTTAGGCACTAAATATATCGATGAATCAAAAATTATTCATTCTGAAAATTGCCACGTTCAGTTCTTCAACCCCATGGTAATGTTGGAAGATTAGTGTACATAGAATTGTAACAGGGGAGAATAGTGTACGGTAGTAGGATATACCCTCGTCTGATTGCCTGCACTCCATAGAACTGTGTGATGACACAGCCAAGTATTGCGCTGTGTCAGGGTCAACCTGTTAAGGCTTGGTCTGCGCTCCGCTCCAAAACGTTTTAATTAGCCTACATGTCTTTTTTTTAAAAATATATTATCAACCGTTACTAATGATCCTCAGCAACAACCACGCGGCCGTGATGACGTTTACAGAGGAAGGAAATGGAGGTAAATGAAACAATGTAATTAAATGGAATGATAATGTTGGCTATACCAACTGAAGGGAACTAACAGTAAATTGGCAGTTGAATATGTGTTGTTATTAGACCTACTGACGGTCCAGACTGCTAGTGGTATTTAAACATGATAGAAATAGGAAACAGAGAAAGTCGGGGCAGCCTATAATTAGGACATTCGAGAGTGCCCATCCCTGCAAGTTCAAAGGCTGTACAATTTAAATTCTGCATAATGACACAGCATTTCATTTCGTCTCCAGTGGTGTTATGGTTAAATAGATCTAAAACAAGCGTCATTTATATTTACAATTCCCTTATCCAAACTGATTACTCAAATACCTCGCTCTTATCAATAACTCTTATCAAGTTGTAAATTACAGTTCTTGGAGAATGGTGTTAGTAGATGCTTTTTCCACTTGGAACCGGTAGGTTCGCTAGTCGTTATTTATGGTTTCCTCGCACGTAAAGGTGGTGGAATTATGAGGGAATTAAGTCAAGGTCAGAATACCGCGTATCTGTAGACACACCTCTGCCACACGTTCATTTATTCGATCTCCACCCAAAACGAGTAGCGTGTGAACAGCACGGGTGTGAATTGAAATCGGTACCATGGCCTTTACTAGACAATTTTCCTAAAAGGATGTTAAATTCCCTAAATCACTTTAATGTAATGTAAACTCCAGAGCCTGTATGTATTATCACTGTCTCATTACTGCCTTGTACAATAAATTAATCCTGTGTAGACTAACTCGATTTCTCCCAAATTACAGTGATAGTGTATTCATTTATTGAATAGTGATAATATGCTTTATTCTGTGATTGATCAATAACTAAACTACAGTACTTAAAGGGGAAGTTCAGGATTGTACAACTTGATGTTAGATGGTTCCTCACCCTGAAAGTAGTCTATATGCCCCATTCACTTCCATTGAGTGTGTTAGCTAGTGGTGGCTAAAGTTAGCGGAAGTTTGTATTAGCTGTTTGAAGAAAACCGATCCATGGATAACATTTTCTCCTGGCCCATAGGAACCAGAGCAACCATTTTAACATCAAGTTGTAGAATCCTGAACCTCCCCTTTTATTCTGTATATTTACTCTAGATGTTGATGTACATTCTGTCAATCCACAATGAATATATCTATATAGGAAGTGACAAGTTGAATACTTGAGCTGTATATAATAATTGTATATTTTGAGATATTTCAGATTTTTGTACGTAATGTACCCTTATTGTGTCTGTAGATTTATGATGTAAAGATATTATTAGTGTGAAAATTGTTGTCCTCAATCAAAATAACTGGAAAGATTGTACTTTGGTGTGTGTCTGTGTGCGTGCTGGTGTGAGCGAGCGAGAACGTGGCGTGCTTACGCTTGTGTGTGAATGAGTGGGTGATTCTGTGTACATGTAGATGTCATTGTTAAAACTGGTTGTGTGTTTCTTAATTTCCACCTTCAGTGTTGTGTGAGCTTTACTTACTGTAATCAAGTAGATATGACTCACTTGTAATGACTTGGGACCACTGACTTCTTTAAGCAATCTGTAAGTGTTCTGTGTCTCTTCAGCTGTTCTTTGGGACAACTCTCTGTTCTCCACAGAAATTACAACTTGAACATGGCATAAAATAGCGTGACAATTCATGAGCATCAATACTGTAACAACCAATGTTTTTGTCTTAGAAAAAACATTGAGGGAAAATGAAATAAAAGTTACCACTTTTATGAACGGTGTTATACAGTGTGTGGGTTGTGTCATTTATTAGAGATTTCATTAGAATGTGAGTCTTACCCTGAATGTTGATCGCTTCAGGAAAAGTGTTGTAGAAATCACATTTTCTGTTTATCTTTTCAGCAGAGAAATTTGGCTTGGAATCTAACAATGAATCTGTCTGTCAACAAGCACCTTGGGGTCTAACACTGTATCTGTTTGTTAACCTCTACGGGATCGGTGTCCTCTGTAGCTCAGCTGGTAGAGCACGGCGCTTGTAACGCCAAGGTAGTGGGTTCAATCCCCGGGACCACCCATACACAAAAAAAGAAATGTATGCATGCATGACTGTAAGTCGCTTTGGACAAAAGCGTCTGCTAAATGGCATATTATTATTATTATACGGGACGGTTGTTGCTCAATATGCGATATGTGACTAGAATGGTGTTGTAAACAACAGCTAACTTTCCAGGACATAGACATGTCTTATATGGGCAGAAAGCTTACATTCTTGTTAATCTAACTGCAGTGTCCAATTTACAGTAGCTATTACAGTGAGAAAATACCATGCTATTGTTTGAGGATAGTGCACAACAACAAAACACTTTTGTCACGGCAACTGGTTTGGTACATTCACCTCTGAAGGTAAATAATGTACTTACATTCAGTAATCTTGCTCTCATTTGTCATCCTGAGGGTCCCAGAGATACAATGTAGTGTAGTTTTGTTTGAAAAATCAATTTGTATATTCAAATGTAGGAACTGGGTTCTACAGTTTGACCTCTGGCTCCACACCGAGCCCGCCCGGCGATCTAGATATGTGAAGTTTAGTGTCTTTTCTGTAGGGAAGCTAATGATCCATCATTTATGATATTCCTGGGAATGTGCAAACTTTACATGTCTTATTACCATAGCATTTCTGTATGTTCTCTATAGTTATGTCCTTGAAAATCAATTTGGCACATTTGGGAAAACTCCTGGCAGACTTGATACAAAATATTGTGTAGTGATGTTTTTCTTCACTGGATCAGTCTGAAACTTTGCACACACACTGCTGCCATCTGGTGGACAACATCTCAATTACATCTAGAATACTACATCACTGTCTGGCCTTTCTCTTGCATTTCAAAGATGATGCAAAAAACAAACCAAAAAACATGTTTTTTTTGTTTGTATTATCTTTCACCAGATCTAATGTGTTATATTCTCCTACATTCATTTAATATTTCCACAAACGTCAAAGTGTTTCCTTTCTAATTATATCAAGAATATGCATATCCTTGCTTCAGGTCCTGAGCTACAGGCAGTTAGATTTGGGTATGTTATTTTAGGGCGAAAATGAAAAAAAAAAAGGGTCAGAACGTTTTAACAAGCAATATTTAGCAGAAACTGAAGCTACAGTAGCTTGCTGGGGTACCTCCCGAGTGGAGCAGTGGTCACTAGAGATCCTGGTTCGAATCCAGGCTCTGTCGTAGCCGGCTGCGACCGGGAGACCCATGGGGAGGCGCACAATTGACCCCAGGGTAGGGAAGGGAATGACCGGCAGGGACATAGCTCAGTTGGTAGAGCATGGCATTTGCAACGCCAGGGTTGTGGGTTTGATTCTCACGGGGGGCCAGTATGAACAATACCAAAAATAATGTATGCACTCACTTAACTGTAAGTCGCTCTGGATAAGAGTGTCTGCTAAAATGACTAAAATGTTCTATTCACTTGCCGAGGCCACAGTAGGGAGAGATGTTCCCCATGGACGGCTTTATTGAGAGATGTCAAAGATGCCTGGATTCCCAGAAGTGGATACAACAGTGACGCTTGGATGTGAAAATATATAACCCTCACCATCTGAGACAGATGTCACGCCCTTTCAGCTCACTATATGTCAGATTCTGGTCCTGCGTGGCTCAGTGGCTAGAGCATGGCGTTTCCAACCCCAGGATCGTGGGTTTGATTCCCGCTGGGGCCCACCCATACCGATACTATGTGTGCATGCATGAGGGTAAGGCACTTAGGATGAACGTGTCTGCTGAATGGCATATATTAGTATTATAAGGATTCATTGGCAATAAAATCAGAACGTAGTTTGTTGAGGAACACCATAATCTCTCTTGTACGAGAGCCATCATCCCTATCCTGTCAGCTGACTGACTGGGGGTTAAAGGTTAAAGGTCCCTGACATGCCCACCAGAAAGACACAGCAGCCATAGAGAAGGCTT